GTTTCAGCCCTGGCTGGTGTCGCTCAGTGGACTGAGTGCGGGCCTGCGAACCAGAGGATCACAGTTCGATTCCCAGTCAGGGCACATGTCTGGGTTGCAGGCCAGTTCCCAGCAGGGGACTCACAAGAGGCAACCATACATTGATATTTCTCTCCTTCTCTCCTTCCCTTCCCCTCTAAAGATAAATAAAGTCTTAAAAAATAATAAAATAAAAAAATAAACGTTTCAAAATTTGTTCACACCAAGTATTACTGGGTTGTGCAGGGATGTGTTCCCAGAGCAGCAAGCAGTGGGCGGAGGCCTCTACCTCCCCAGGTGCCCACTGCAGTGGGGCGCACTCACGGCTGTTCCCATCAGACGCACCCAGTGAGCTGGCCAGTGTGAAGGCCTGGAGAAGGGAATCTAAACCAAAGGTCCTGGGGCCAGGGGGAGGGCCAGCTGCTCCTGTCTGTGCCCTCCCTCCTCTCTGGCCAGTGCTCTCTGCTCAGAGTTTCAGTTCCACATTTGGACCTCCTCTGGGCATCTCTTCCCCCGAGTGCAGCCGGGTGCCCCCAGACCACACCCTGTTGAACCGAACCTCCCATAGCTTTTTCTTATTCCTGCCGGATGGAGCGCATTCATGCTCCAGGCATTAGGTCGGTAACTGCCAGACAGGAGACGGTGGCCAGCTGTGTGGCTCTGTAGAGAGTGACAGCAGGGTACTACATGTGGATTAAGAGGGGGGCCAGGAAGGTGGCTGGGAGGGGAGAGCTGGAGGCGGCAGAGCCCCAAGGAGAATGCGCTGGTGGATGTGCAGGAAGAGCATGCTGGCCTTGCTCTCCCAGAGGATAGGAGATTGCCTAGTGGTCTAGGGGATGGGGGATGTGTTAGTTTCTTTTGTCTCTGTCTCTACACAAAGGCAAATGCTGGAGCAAGTTGGGAGCTCATCTTTGTCCTTATGCTATGCCACAGGAAAAGCTCTATGAGTGGTTCAGCTGTAACATCCCTTTCCTTACCCGTAACCCCCCTCAAAGAGCCCTTTGGAAAAAGAGGTCTGTTCCCACTGAGGGAATGTGAGCTGCTGTTTTCCTTGGGACTGAAAGGCCTGGTGCTCCAAGGAGGCAGAGAGCCAGCACCATGCTGGTTGGTGGCTTTGTGTAGGCCCACTGTCAGATCTCATCTCTTCTGTGGCACATCACTGTGAAAGCTCCAGGGTGGCAGTTGTACCAGCCACATCTTCCACCAAAGTGGGTCTTGATTCCAGAAGTGTTCACATATGAAACATATACATGTTAGAAGCAGTATGACTCACACTGCGTGACTTGATGTATTCTTGAAGGAACACGTAATACATGTGTCAATGTCAGACTTAAGGAACTAACGAGCATCTCGAGGACTGGGTGCACGTTCCTTCCTGATGGCCCATTGTTTTGGTTAAAATGGCAAATGCCCAGCGAAGGTTGACTTGATCAGGAAAGTGAAAGAATTGCCATTTTGGGTTCTCTCTTGCATAACAAACTACCCCAAAACTTGCTGGCTTAAAAACAACGCATTTTATTATTCGTTTGTGGTTTTGAAACTTGTCAGGGTGCAGTAGCTCATCTTGGTTCTACATGGGTCTGCTGGGATGGCTCAGCTGGAACAGCTCATCTCGGATCACGTGGTGGGGCCTTGATCTCACTGTTACCTGGGTTCATCGACTGCTCCATGTGGCCAGCTTGGCCTCCTCTCAGCATGTGGTCTCAGGGCAGTCGAACTTCTTACATGACAACTGGCTTTCTCTAAAGAGCCAGTGTTGAACTGCTGGACCTTCTTCAGGCTTAACCCTGGAACTGGAGAAGTGTTGCTTCTGTGACATTCTGTTAAAGTGGGTCGCAATGGCCAACCCATATTCAAGGGGAGGGAAGCACAGGGGCCCACGGGACTGAGGAATCCAGGTGATTGATGCTCAGCATGGGCAGCCCCAGGCCCAGAGCCTCTCCAACCCTCTCAGCAGCTCCACCTCCCAGCTCACCAAGAGAGGCCACATACCACAGTATTTAACACCGTGGGCTCGAGCCAGATACCTGGACTCCACCGCACAGCTTGTGGCCTTGGGCATCAATTGTTAGCCTCTCTGCATGCCTCAGTTTCCCTCTCGTATTCCCCTCAGAGGACCATGTGAGATTTATAGCATGCCCTGAGCCATGCTGCCTGCAGGTTTGGAGAGCCATGTCAGATACTCAAGAACACGTCATTGTCGGGCAGCCGAGGGCCTGGCCTTGGAAAGGCAGAGCTCCACAGGACACACCCCAGCATGGCTCTGGTTCCCTGGAAGGAGTGGCTGGCTGACACCTCCATGGGCTGGCCTGCTACAGAAGTGGAGGTGGTAGCACCAATGGGGTCAAGTGTCCCCTGCTGCTGACGTCATCACACTTGGAGACATACACTCTTGAATTTTACAAGGCTCCTAGTGGTGCTCATTGGTCACTGTTCTCTGGCGTCTGGCAGTACTCCACGCCTCGTTCTTGGCACCAGGTGCCATGGTTTCACCATTCTGCACAGCCTTTGGAGCGGGGGTGTCTGCACCTCACACCTCTTAAGGCTGGGCCCGCAGCCCTAATTGTCCTTACTCGTTTCTTGAGGCTTTCCTGTGTGACACTCCTCCCGGTCAAATGGGCAAGAAACCTACCCTTTCACAGCTGCTTCCCTCCCAGGCCCTCAGCCCATGGGAAAGAGTGACACATTTGTAGTAGCTGCCTGTGGGGCTCTGGCTTATCACACATGGCAGCCACCGAGCCCAGGAAGGGTGTGGGTAGCCAGCATGAGCCTGAGTGCACATGCAGAGAAGGACCAGTTAGGGCACTTCCAGTCCTTCTCACCTGTGCTCTCAGCACCTGCCATTTTTGGCTCACTCTGTAGAGTTTTCTAGAGTTCTGTCTTGAAGCTTAAGGTGGGAGTGATGGTGCCTGCCCTGTCCAGGCGATCGATGGGTGAAGAACACCTGGCAGGCTTTCTCTTCAGGCCTTGGGGAGTGCACTTCACTGCCGGGCCTGGCTCCTTCAGAGCTGTGTAGAGAACCAAGCTGTGCTGGGGCTTGTCTCTCGAGTCCTTTGAATGAAATTTCAGAACAGACCAGGGCTGAAATTCTTGTGTGTTTGGGATAGCTTTGAGCACACTGCAGTGCTCCAGGAATGCGGTCAGCAGCTACTTGGCTGAACTTGATATGTCATTACAGAACTCTGGCTCTTGGTGTGGGCCTGAGGTGACCGAGGGGCTCAGAGACCAGGATAGAGATGCTAACGTGGTGTTGTGGGGGAGCCTTTGTTGTTTTGGATTCAGTAACTGCTGGAGATGAAACAACATGTGGTGTGATTTCTAAACTTTCCAAGGTTTCTACTTAACTCTCTGAGACAAAATAGGGTATTTGCACCTGTTTGCACAGCCGTGTCCCCCACCCCCTACCACGTAATGACCAATAAGAAGAGGAGTGCATTTCCCTTTGTCATGTGGAAACTCATGCTTGATTTGACTCTGAGGGAGTGGTCCTAACCCTAACCCTCCAAAAAAAAGGTGAGGGAAGCTGGGTGCTGCCTGGGGCCAATATGGGCCATTGCCTTCTAGGTACCAGCAATTGATTTTCAGCACTTGGGTGGGAGCCCTGGGAGGACTTTCAGCTGTTTGGCAGCTACTGCCCACACTTGCCACCTTGTAGAGCTGGTAACTTTTGTCCTAGTGTCCATGCCACCTCTCCTTGGGTGACAGAGACATAGCATCCTTGACCAAGAGACTTGACAACAGCCCCTTGTCTTTATCAGCAGTTGCTGTGCTCAGTTCATTGTCATGCCATCTAATTTGTCACTGAACAAATATTACTGAGCTCCCACTTAGCAGGCTGGTGCTAGAAGCCGCTGATGTGGTGATGAACTCGACTGTGATTGATATGGTACTCAGAGTCTGGAAGCAGACCAGGGAGCTAGACACATGCTCTCTGGCACTGGCCTCAGGATTACTTCCGCCATCTGCTGGCTTTGGGGTTCTTATGGTGCCTTTGCCAGTCTGGTCCACCCAGCTAGCCATCTAGCTTCGTGGGCTCTTACTGTAGGCTGGGGCCCTTACTGGATACTGTGGTGACTCTAAGAGCTAGTGCCATAGCCCTTTTCCCCTGGAGGGACTGAACATCTAGTTGAATGTAGGGCACATACCACGGAGGAGAGTTGGCAAAGGGAGATGCTGAGAAGGCCGTCTCTCCACAGACTTTGATGCAGCACAAATGTATGGGGTCGGGGGGTGGGGAGCTTTTTGAATGCAGAAGCGTGATGAAGGAAACAGTGTATTGCAGCCAACCACTGGCCTCACCCAGCTCTCAGACAGTTAGAAAAGCCAGGGCATGCTCCCCATGTCCAGGCTGACCCATGGGATGGGGAGATGGCCGGCTGTGCATAGCCCCCATGACGCAGAGCTGCTGTCACAAATAGCCTTTACAAACACACATCTTCGGAAGGCACTGGGCTCTTAACCAGTGGACCTCTGTGTGAGTGCCCGGGCAAGCTGTGAGCTCAGTAGCTCTAGTGACAGGGCGGTCTGTCCCACTTTTAGACTTTCAGCTATTTAAGGTCACTTAGAGAGTCTTCCAGTAGTTTATACCTCCAAGTTAGATTGCTCCACCTTTACTCACAGGTAAGTTATTAGCAGGATAGTATTTTTTCCTAGGATCAGTGAATAGGGACATTACTTGAATAACGAATATTTTTAAAGTTTGAGCCTGTCCCTGGCTGGCGTAGCTCAGTGGATTGAGCACGGGCCTGCGAACCAGAGTATCGCAGTTTGATTCCCAGTCAGGGCACATGCCTGGGTTTTAGGCCAGTTCCCAACAGGGGACACATGAGAGGCAACCATACATTGATATTTCTCTCCCTCTCTCCTTCCCTTCCCCTCTGAAGATAAATAAATAAAATTTTTTTAAAAAATGTTTGAGCCTGTTGCTATTCTGCAGTGAATAAAAGCCAAGACAGATGTTGTATTTTTTTGTTTGTTTCCAGGCAAGCCAATTTTTTCAGTTGATATTCACCCTGACGGGACCAAGTTCGCAACTGGAGGACAAGGTATGTTCATGGGATAACGGGAATGTTCACAGCCCTGCCAACTAGCTCTGCCTCTCTGCATTACCCTTTGAGGCATAGAGAAAATATTTGCTGTTTTCAGTATGGTTATAACTCAGTTTTAAGTCTGAACAAATTACATCAAAATATTTTTTTCACACTAGAGTGTGCTCTCTTTATATATTTTGGAAGCAGCTTTATTCTTCTAATTTCTGTTTATTGGGTTAATATTAAAATCAATTTGCATGTCTGAGACCAAGCTTATTGACCGTGGAGAGTGGCAGGCGGTCTCATAGACGAAGCCCCAGAGACGAGGACTCTTGCTTCTCATCTTGTTTTTGGCATTGTTTTCTCATCTGAAAGGGGAGAGGAGATGGGTAAACCCCAGAGCCAGTCGTGTAGTCGTTAGGCCCATTCTCTTGGCTCAGAGGAATTCAGCTGGGTTAGAGGGCAAGTGTAAATGTGCACACCATTTGAAAATATGGTCCATGGTATTGTTGGTGTGTTTTATCCAGTGTCTGCTGCAATACTGCAGTTACAACTCTGTTTGGAAAGACACAGTCACTTTTGAGGCCAGGACACCAAGATGCACACAGCGTTCCCACAGAGCCCAGTCCTCACAGCAGGGTCCTCCTCTGGCTGAGGCCTCCCGGGACAGGGCTTGGAGAGTGCCCCTGTGAGTTCCAGGTCCTCCTGCCAGGTACTGCAGGGCAGGTTGTCTGCAGACTTCCTGCTTCAGAGGCATGCAAGGAAGCCTTGATCTCCTTCCTGCGTGCTGTGGGTTGCACCCAAGAGGTGCCCACAGGCATCCCCTAGGGCCACTTAGCAGGGATGACAGGTTTCTCTCATCCGCAAGAAGTGGCACATCTTCCTGACCTACTTGGCGTAGCAAGCTCTAGGAGAGCTGATTAGGAAATATTTTTATATTGGCCAAGAGACAGGTGCAGGCATACCTTCTGGTAATTTTGACATGTCCGTATGCAGGCATTTATTGGTTTTTGCCCCTCTGTAACAGAAAGTTAAGTGAGGGACTAGACTTTTGTTAGTTATCAATAATGGAAATCTCAGAAAGAGGAATCATTACTAAAATGCATGGCTATATTTTTTAGCTCAGTACTCCATCAGCTTATGACCCCCTCATCTGTAGATGATGGCAAAGGGCAGGTAAGGTAAGAAGCATCTTCTCAGTGTTTAAAGGCACATTTCACACTTGGGTCTCAAAGAATCTAGTCAGCTGTGAGAATAGCTATGCGTTCCAGGCAGCACCTGAAAAGGGAGGGAAGCCCTGGCAGGGACTGTCCTATTCACCTTGGTTGCTAGGGAGCCTGTGTGTAAACCTGAAAGGGTGCTAGGACATGGGCTTTTCCAGCCTCTTCATTTACAAAGGAGGGGTCTGTGTCCTGGGCAGGAACAAGGAAGGACCTTCTAGGGGACCCTGGTATGTCCATGTTAGAGGCCAGATCGGCGCTCTGTCCTTACCTGATTCTAGTCCAAGAGTTCTTTTCATAAAGTCAGGTTGGCCTCAGCATAGTACTAAATCCACACTGTCTGAATCCCCATTAGCACTAGTTTTTCTTCATCTTCTCTGTAACTTACATTAGTAATTCAAATTCAGTCTCCTCCAATCCAGTCAATTATGATTTATGAAAAGTGAGGGCTGTGTCTCATAGTTAATAGTCTACTCCTTGTACATTGAGTTATTTCTGCCCCTTCATTCCAGGACAGGATTCTGGGAAGGTTGTGATCTGGAATATGTCTCCAGTCCTCCAGGAGGATGACGAGAAGGATGAAAATATTCCCAAGATGCTTTGCCAGATGGACAATCACTTAGGTATTACAGAGTGGCCCTTTGCAGGCTTTTCGTGTTGGCAGAGTGCCCAAGGTTAGCACATGTGTTTGTAATTAGAAAGATAAGGCCCCGTGCGGCGGTAACTCCCCTCGGCCTGCTGTCTGAAGGCACAGATGTTGGCTGCACACCTGGGTGAGTTATTCGGCAGAAGACTCGGCCCGCCCACAGAACCATCTTTGGACAGTCTGCAGGTACCTCCGGTGATTTCCTGCTCATGAGTCGTTACTGCCTGATTCCATGGGGCTTTGGGGCCAGCGACCTGGAAGCAGTAGGGTTCTGGGGAAGGGTACATAAAAGACAACTTACCAAATGTCTCAGATTGCCACTGTGTCACTCGGAGGCCCTCTGCCAGGACCCTGGACAGTGCTGTGGTTTCCTTTCCCGTGTTAGTGCCATTAGTTTCCCCCCTGCCCCTGAGCATCAGGGTGACTGTACCTGGCTCTGGGTTCCAACCTAGCTGCTTCCCCTGAGATGCTCCATTAACAGTTACATCCCCTTCCTTTACTGTGTGTTCTTGCTTCCTCAACATGTCTCTCGGCATCCTCCAACTTGGAGCGCAAGTCACCCACAGGCCGGGCGGGGGCCACAATTCGGATAGTGCCCCTCATGTTGCAGGGCCCCCAGAGGCTGGGCTGTGAGTGCTCTCAGAGGCTCCAGCCCAACTGGAGGGCAGAGGTGGGGTTCTGTTGGTCTCAGTGTATAAGTGCAGGGTCACCCAACATGCAGTGCTGACAGGTTTGGAAAATCTGAATTTAATTGCTGATAGGTAGAATGAAGTCAGTTTTACATTTTACCAAGCTTCTCTCTGAAAGCTCTGGAGAAGGCATCTCGGCCTATTTAGCTCATGCCTTCCTATCAAGAGTTGTCCCTGTTCAGAAATACATCTCATCATTAGACAGCCCTTTTTAAGTAATGACTTTGAGGTGTTTACCAGTTTTCATGGAAACGAGCCTCCTCCTCTTGACTATTTCACCCAGCACTAACACTTCCCCTTACGTAGCCTTTCCTCCTCCAGACTCTATTCTGTTCATTTATTTTTATAGCACAAGAAGGTTAGTGCTGTAACTGAATCGTTCTTCTAGGGCTTTCACACAGTAGATGCCTTGAGTAGATTAGACAGATTGGATTTTATAAAACCCTTTGCATCTTGCCAAACTCTGCATAAAATAAATGGGCATGACTGTTGGATTTTCATCACCCTGTTTCTTTTTCTTCCCAGCATGTGTGAACTGTGTGCGGTGGTCAAACAGTGGGATGTATTTAGCTTCTGGGGGAGATGACAAACTGATTATGGTGTGGAAGCGGGCTACGTAAGCATCATTTTTCTTTCTTCACATTTTATTCTTAGAAGCTTTTTTACAGTCTTTATCACAGTCACTTTCTCTACCCCAGCACTGAAGTCCCCAGAGTCCCAATTTCATAAGGAGTAGGAAGCCCACGTAGGCCAGGAGCAGCTGAGGAGTTGGAAGGCCACCCAGCTCCCTAGTAACCTGCTCCGCTGTCCCTTGCAGAGCTGCAGGGTTTCCACCTGAAAAGGAAGGGTGAATCCCTTCCAACGCTGACATTGGTGGCTTCGTTTGTTTTATTCTTCAAGTGAAATTTCCCAGCATACAATGTGTTTAAAAGTCAAGGTGCTTTGATAGAATCTGGGCAGGGGAATCCAGAGCCTGCCCTCATTTTCTGTCAGCCTCACTCTGACCTCTAAGGAGTCCCCATTCAAAAGCCCTTTCTCTGTACTAATATTGAATCAACCATCACCTGCAAAACTCTTTTCCTTTACACCTAGGCACAGTCTCTCAGGGTGGGTCCTGGGACTCTTCCATAACCAGCACCCCAGGTGACTCAGGGGCCAGTCAAGCTGGGGACTCAGGCTTACCCTGCTGCTCAGCCAGAGTGGCCCCATGCCCCTGGCTTTGAGAGCAGAGGCGGACTGTCCACTCAGATGCCTCAGGGAGTTCTTCCTGTGGGTTTGTGAAGAGTTCTGCTGGAGTGAAGGCTGTTAACGGAGGCGCTGTGCCTCCACAGTGTGGGCGCCACCTCCCTGGGGGCAAATGGCAAGAACTAGTACCCCTGGTTCAAGTGCTTTCTCTGCCTCAGGTCTTAAGGCAGAGGCCTTCAATTCATTACAAAAGGGCTTTAAAAATACTGTTGATTTTGCCGCTTTGGCCAACATAAATAATATTTGGTATATAATTTGGAATGCTGAAAAAATACGAAAGAAAAGTGTCACAGTCCCACCACCTAAAGAAAGCCATGGCTAATATTTTGGTATTTGTGTATGTGTCCTTCTGATGCATTTTCTATGCATATGTGCAATTTTTTTCATTACATATTCTGTCCTGTGACCTGCTTCTCTCACCTAATTATCTACTGTGACTGTGAACCTTTTCCTGTGCAATAGTCTTTTACCACAAGCTTGATGGCTGTGTAGTAGTAGTTCATCAAGTGCAAATAATCTTCCTAGTCAGCTCCTGCTGTTAAGCAGTTAGGTGCTTTCCAGCCATTGTCTGTTTTTGCTCTGTTCTGTCTGCCATGTTAAGCCGTGCTGCAGTACGCATCTCTGTGCAGTGTGCGGAGCATTCCCGGAGTGCCTTTCTGACTCCTCTTTCACACAGGTACATTGGCCCCAGCACCGTCTTCGGCTCCAGTGGTAAGCTTGCCAATGTGGAGCAGTGGCGATGTGTCTCCATCCTCCGGAGTCACTCAGGCGGTGAGTGGGGTGGCCTGTAGGGGTGGGCGGCCCTGGCAGCTGTCCGAGACCAGCAGCAGCACCTCCACGGCCCCTGTGGACTGATTTGGTCCTTAAAGCAGCCCTATGTCTGGGTCATTCTCCCCATCACCATCGGTCACACCCTGTCTGTCCCCCAAGGTCTGTGCAGTCACTGTCCCCACTGCCTGCCTCCAGCTGCATTCAGGGTCCCCACTCCTGCCCTCATGGGGTATATGTTTATATCTTTAATGTAGAACTCCCCACGTTCTGCTGTTTATCCTGGTGAACTGAATCACTACCTTCATCAGTGGATCACTAAGTCCGTAAGCACACTTTATTTATTCCACAGAAACTAGAACACAGGGGTCCAATGAAAAGTTTTTTAGTTGACCTCAAGTATGTTTGCAAAGTGTAAATAGACTTGGAATGGAAAGAAACACTTTACCGATTTGGACTGAAGAGGAGGAAGGTCAGTCAGTAGCAGACTTAAACCATGCGCTGTACACTTGTTTGGGTGCCAGAATTACCACAGTGAATACAACAACTTAGTCTTACCTTGGAAAGCCTGTGTTCTAGCCCAGGAATGGTCTGACGGGCTTCCCAGGCAGGGAGCCCAGCAAAAGCAAGAGAGGTTGGCTGTGTATGATGAGTTAGCGGCATTTCACCACTCATGAAGTGAGGAAGCAGCACGGAGTAGGGCCAGCTGAATGTGCAGGGACCAGGTCACGGAAGGCCCGTGCTCCCTGTAAATGGAGGTGTCCTTGTCATGGGAGAGACTGGGAGCCATTAAAAGACAGTTATTGGGGAAAGGAGGTTGTTTCAGTGGTTCTGGTAAAAACTTCAAGGGCCTGAACTAGGCCTATGATAATTGGGATAAAGAGGAAGAGACTGATTTGGGAAATTCTTAGGACAGAGCAAGGGAGGGATGAGGGAGATACCTAGCTGGGTGCCTGAGTAGCCAGTGGTGTCCTCTACTGAGACCATAAGAACAATAGGCTTATGGAGATGTATACACCAGTTCAGTGTGGGATATGCTTAGTTAGGGGATGAATCAAGAGACTATTGGAATTGAGCCTGGAACTCTGGGGAAAGATGGGGCAGAAGCAAGAGGTTTGGAAGGCATCAGCTGTAATCCATTGTCAGTATAGGCTCAGCAAATACCCTGCAGACACTTTAAGATGTCTGCAAGACTCTCTTGGGTGACCGGATTAATTCTAAATTTGCGAAGGCTGACAGTAGCATTGTGTTCTTGTTGATAACAGTAAAAATGGGTGCTTAATCTTACTGTTGCTCAGCTGTTCACAGTGAAATCTGGTGGCTTCTGGAACTTTGGCGCACATGTCTGTGTGGGTATCCAAGCATGGAGTGCAGCCTCAGTGAGAACTTTTACGGGGCTCCTAACCTGAGACTCAGGTTATGAGGCTGATCCATAACCTTGACTTCTCTTCTGGTCCAGTAGCCCAGGGTTCTCCCTTACCAGCCAGGTAGGGTTGCCTACCTTCAATAGGGGTACCTGCCACTTCTTATTCAGTGGTCTTGGTAGTAAGTATGGGTGGAACCATTTAAGAAGAAAAAGATCAGGGAAAAAGAAATAAATGGCCCTGGCTAATGTGGCTTAGTGGTTTGGGTGCCGGCCAGTGAACTGAAAGGTCGCTGGTTCAATTGCCGGTCAGGGCACGTGCCTAGGTTGCAGGCCAGGTCCCTAGTTGGGGGCATGCAAGAGGCAACCAGTCAGTGTTTCTCTCTCACTCACCAATGTTTCTCTCTCCCTTCCCTTTTTTCTGAAAATTAAAAAAAAAAAAAAACAGAATCTATAAAAGAAAATAAATGGATAGATAGAAAGCAGTGGGTCTCTGAAAGCAAAGTGTGAAAAACATCTACTTGGCATATTTAAATGGGGTAGGAAAGAAAACCTAGGTGAAAATAGAAGTAAAGGTCTAGAAAAACATTTAACCTAGAGAAAGAATATCATCAAAGAGTGCAAAATGTAATGTTCATAAGTTTTCAAAATTGATTCCATAAGGTTAAAAAAAACTGAACAAACTAGTAACCAATGAAGAAGTTGGGAAGGGGGGGAAAGGTACAGAAAATAAGTAGCATAGACAGTAGATAGAAAATAGATGGGGGGGCAAGAATAGCATGGGAAATATAGAATCTAAAGAACTTGAGACACATGGTCATAAACTAAAGGGGGGGTAATGGTGGGGACAGGGGGTAGGGTGGAGGAGAATGAAGGGGGGAATAGAACAACTGTAACAGCATAATCAATAAAAAAATTAAGAAAAAGAAAAGAAGTTGGAAGCCACCTTCAGAAATGGTTCCTGAGCCTAAATAATTTTTCGATGTGTTGTTTTAAGCTTTTAAGAATAATTACTCTGGAACATAGAAATACTTGTTCTTTAAAGGAAGCTATAGCCCTGTTTCCAAACTTAATAAAAATAACAGTGAAATGAAAGCATAGGGAAATATGAATAAAGATAGAAAAGTCAAATACAATACTCACAAATTTGAAAACATTCATTTTGACTAAATATGATTTATGGTGGGAGAATTTTGTGTAAAGAAAAGGTATTAATATAACTCAACATACTAGGAGGTTAAATGAGAAAAAAAAACAGTCCTCTGATGAGGTATTCTGAAAGGAATGTCAGATAACTCAGCATCAATTTCTAATAAAAATGCTTTTTAAGAAATTACCATAGAAAGTTATTTTCCTAACAGGATAGAGTTCTCTGTCTTTTTCAAAGCAAAGGTAAATGTTACAATTCACAGTTGAGCCTTGTTCCCATTTATATTGAGAAAAGACAAGGATGGTGGCTGTCGTTTAATTTGTCACTTTGAAATTTTTGCAGTACAGTGAAACAAATCAGAAGGAGTAGACATAAAGGAAAATAAGACAAAAATGAAATGATGTGAGGTGGTGTTGTGTGTCAAGAAAACCAAAGGAATAAAGCTTTTTGAACTTATGTAGCAGTGAAAAGCACTTCAGACCAATGAAAATGAGTTACTCAATGGGCCTCATATAAGGAAAAAATTTTAATTATTTATCTCTCACTGGTAATAGCCTATTAGAATATCTAATGATAGAGGAAGAACTACCATTGTAGGATCGGAAATTGTAAATACTCAGGAATAATTTTACCAAGAAGTGTATGAGATTTAGAAGACTTAAATACAGACCTCTTTTGAGAGATAATAATTGACCACTTCATAAATGGAAAGATTAACTGAAAAATAAAGACTTTATATTTTCTCCCAAATTTATATTTATTATTTATTTAACAAACATTCATTGAGCACCTTGTATACTCCAGGTGCTGTTCTACCTCAGGGGTTTACATCCCTGCAAAAGAGACAGATAATCAACTAGTCGTGTAAGAAGCTGAAAGATAAGTGCCAGGGAGCAAAATGAGGTGGGGTGCCATTTCATCCAGGGTTCTCAAGGAGGGCCTCCCTGAGAAGGTTCCATCCACGGAGAGGCCCTGTGGAGGTGAGGGGCAGCTGTGTGGTCTTCCAAAGAGCTGTCCAGGCCGAGGGAACAGCCAGGGCAACAGCCCTGGGGTGGGCGTGTGATTGATGTGGTCAGGGAAGCACAGGAGTGAGGATAGAGAGTGAGAGGGGTGGGAGGAAGTGCGGGTTATGGTGAGGGCTGTTGTCTGAGTGAGACAGGAAGGCTAGGCAGGGTGGTGAGCAGAGGAGTGGGGAGGCCTGTGGCAGCTGTACGGAATTCACGTTGTGGGGAACTACGGGGCAGACCAGGGAGACCAGTGAGGAGGCTCTTGACAGTCTAGGTGAGAGACAGGTACCGTTTGGACCTGCGTCTTAATGGCGAAAGTAAGGAGAAGTGGTAAGTTGCAGATTTTCTGGTCCATGGGATATGGAGTGTGAGATAAGCAGAGGCACCAGGATTCGGCTGGAATGTGGCCCGAACAGTGGAAAAGATGCAGCTGCCATTACTTGAGATGGGAGGTGTGTGGGTGGGACAGAAGTGTTTGTTGGGGGAAATGTTTAGGAGTTGTGTTTGGGGGTGCTGTTTGCAGCACGTGGCAGCCGTGTGAGTGGACCTGCTGTGTAGGCATTTGGATATATGAGTCTTGAGTACAGGGGAGAAGTGCAGGTGGAAACAGAGGCCAAGGATGGAACCTGGGGTTTGGGGAGATGAAGAACCAGGAAAAGAGGCTGAGATACAGAAGCCATTTAGGGTAGTGGAGAGTGCTTGAAGGAAAAGGGATTGAGTAATGTGTCGCACATTGCCTAAGGTCAAGTGAGGAGTGAGGACTGACCGTTGAACTTGACAGCATGGAGGCTACAGGAGGCCTTGGCAAGTATAGTTCATGTTAGTGTAGCTGAGTGAAAGCCTAATTGGAGTTCAAGGAAGACCAAAAAGAGGGCAGAGCCAGACCGAACCGGGCTGGGATTTGTCAGGTACCTGTGAAGATACAGGAGAAGAGCAGAAGGGATGGTGGAGCCAATGGGTGGTTGGTAGACTCTGAGCCGGATATAGAGACAGACAGTGGAAGGCCTGTAGCATTTCAGGTCTTAGCACCTGAAAGAACCATTGGAGTCGAGAGTGAGCTATAAGCACCAAATTGGTGGTAGGAGCATGGAAGGGTTGGAATTAAGACCAGGGAGGGACTCAGGGCGTGACCATGGAAATGAGTGGCTGAGGTAGTAGTGGAAGCCAAGGTCATTGGAGGAGAAGGAGGGATTTAAGGATCCAAGAACCTTAGGTGTTAGGAAATCATCCTCTTGGAATCACTAAGAATGACGATGGGAGTGTTGGCAGGAACGACAATGACTACAAAAATCTTCAGGTGTATGGAGGGTGTCAGGTGTGTGGGCTCTGCAAGGAGAAGGAAAGTGGGCAGTAGGGTTTTAAAACAAGCTGCAAAACTGAGGTCTAGGGAGAAAATTATGTCACATGTGGATTTATTCAGAACTTAGCAGTGTGGAAGAAATCATTCAAAGCTACAGTGTTTGTCACAGCATGAGTTTCCGGGTAAAACTAACAACACTGGAGTAGGCTGCGGGGTACCTAAGAGCCTGGTGTATCATGAAGGTGGCATCACTTATCAATAATGGAGAGAAAGGATTATTCCTCATTGGGGTAGAGTAACCATTAGCAATTTCTGGGTAAAGGGGAAGTAATTAGAGCCCCACTAACTACAGCATACACCCAAATAAATTCTGGGTATTAAAGAGAGAAACATTCTAAATAATTAAAGCAGGGGAAAACAAAATTGAATATGTATCAAACCTCTAGTAGAGGGAATGTCTTTCCAGATTAACTGAAATAAAAGGTGTCACAAAGGAGAATAACAGACTTTAGTACATAAACCTCCTACAATAGAGGAAGGTCAATGGGTGGAATTTGCAGCTAATGCCTGCAGTATCAATAGTCCTTGGAAATGGCAGAGAAAATCGCTTCTCTTTTCTGGATTCCCAGCTAACTACTTCTGTGCTCTAGGACTTAGGTACCACAGTGAGTCCTGAGGTTCACATGCCTGCCCTCCTGGTTCTCGGTCCTGGGTTTGTTGGATCGCTGCACAGGAGAGCTTGACAAAGACAGGAGCAGAGTCGTCCAAGGACAGGACAGTCTAGACAGATGGGGGAAACCTCCACTGTTACTATTAACCAAGTAAAATTTAAAATATAACAACATACTTAATAAATTAGAAGGGAAAAGATCGTAATCCCCAAGCTGATGTGGGAGTCTTGAAATGGACATTCTGCTTAGAGAAGTGTGAGGTTTTTGAAAAGCAGCCTACAGTTCTAAGAGATGCTAGACTTAGGAAAACATTCAGGTCTTCTTCCCAGATTCCCACTTTGGGTATCTGTCTCAAAGAAATGATCCAGGGTGTGGGGAGTAACATACACATGTGCTCGCGGGCACGAAAAACTGGAACCCATTCAAAGTTCATTGTTAAATTAGATCCGTTTATGAATGCTCTCAGTGACAGAATGCAGAACAAGTCACAAGGAGCCCTGAAGATCACATACACTACTAGAATATTAAATGCAGCGTACAAGTGCATATGCAGTGTGAAATACAAAGGCTAGTACAGTGTGGAAAAGTCTCATCAAGCTGTCACTAAAGATTGCTTTAAAAACTAAAAAAAAACAGCACAATAGAAGCTTTGTTTTGCTTACACTTCTTTTTCAAAAGCCTGTGAGGAGAGGACTGATAGCTGTTAACTTGCCGCTGCGTTCCCGTTAACTCACCTCACCCGCCATTCTGCACATGTGGCACTGCATCAGGCATGAGGTCAGAACCGTCGGTTAAGACTGTGCCTGTCAGTCACACCTGCGCGGTGAGATGGGCACCGTGACCACACGGTCAACCTTTGTGGATGCCGTGGTGTGTGTGCCGGACACTGTCCTATGGCAGTTTCTTGCCTGTAACCCTCTGAGGAGAGGTGCTTTTTTTAGTCCTCATTTTACATGTGTGGAAACTGAGTCACAAAGAAATGAGTGGGATTAACTGTGTGTGGGGACTCCACAGGGAAGGCGTACTCCTGTCAGGGCCTTGGAGAAGAGACCCGGTTCGTGAGAAGTAGGGTCTGAAGATGACTTTGCACTCACTCATTCAGTTAGCCAGCAGCTATTAGCTCTGACTGCATGCCCAGCATTCTGCTAAGTGCTGGATCTACAATGCCCACCAGGCTGTTTGAGGAGGACCCGGGTGGGATGGGAGAAGCCAGCTAGCAGGGTTGAGGAGAGGGCCCGGGCTGCAGGTCCAGTGGTTATCAGCTGTGGTCCTGTCGTTTGGGTGCAGTGCCACAGGCACCAAACCCCCGGCCGTGCCTTCAGTTGCTTCATGTGTGAAAGGAGTAAGGCAGGATCAGTTAGATGCTTCACATTTTACGACCAGTTGAAAACCCTTAGTGGGGAAGTTTTTCAGATTGGTTACAAGAAGAGGAATGGTGATAGTGTTGGGTCAAGTCTCAGACATGATACCAGGGGCTGGGGCCCATCTAGCAGACGCGGGTGTCATGTTACTGCATGCGCCCTTGCCAAGTCTGCACGCCAGGTAAGACTCACTGCCAACCCTCTGTCTTCCAGATGTGATGGACGTAGCGTGGTCTCCCCATGACGCCTGGCTGGCCTCGTGCAGCGTGGATAACACTGTCGTCATCTGGAATGCAGTGAAATTCCCAGGTCAGGGCCGCCTCTGGCTGGGTGGCGGCAGGAGTGGGTCACTCATCTTCAGGGCCAGCTGTCCATGTCTGGAGGGACTGGGCTCTGTCTCTCTGGCTGGTGGCAGCATGTCTCTCACAGTGGACAGGGATTCATGTGTCTTGTCAGTAATCTGGCTCTTTTTTCTTTATCAGTTACATTATGTTAAAGAAAACTAGTAACTGAGGGCTAACGTGGATGTGCTACAAATCGTGAGTGTGGTACATTCATTGACGGTGGAGTTGGGGACCCTGCCCAGCTTGTGCTTGGCTTGCCCTGACACTCCTGTCTGTCCTGTGCCTGCACACGCCTCCTGGCACCTCCACACAGGTGCCTTCATGGGTGGCCCTTCCTCCCCTGGGCCCTGGCCTCAGCTCAGTGGCCACCTCCTCTGTGGCACCCTTGAGCAGATGCAGGCTAACAAATCCAGTTTTGTAAAAGATTAATTTTTCTTAGTAATGTGTTTGAAGTCGTGGCAGATGTCATGACCCTCATAGCACTGCAATTTATAACTAGTAAGATATTTCTTATGCTCCTGCTTTGTATCTGGACTGTGTTTTCTCATGGGAAAGCATCATCCATGCACTTGATCGAAGCCAGTTTCTCTCTATAAGCCACCAGTATGTGTAAGGACCCTCAACCTGGCCACCAAGTGGCAGATTTAGAGGCTGGGTGACATGTAGGTTGCAGCTGTCTAGGAGGTCCTGTCTCACACTTTTTCCTCAGCAATGACTTACAGGGGACTCAGTAGCACCCAGTCCCCAGAGCCACCAGGGAGGTTCGCATCAGAAATGCCCATGTCACAGCCCAGGTGAGCGTGGACTTCAGTCCAGAAAGGCAAACCACAGGCAAGACCACCAGCTGCAGACAAGATAAGGGGGCAGAGTTTGGCTCCGGCTCCGGCCCAAGCCTGGGCCCCCGATTGCCTGCCCCTCCAGGGGCGCGTTCAGCCTCAACCCACACATGTTAGCTGTGAGTGAAGGGAATCGTGATGCCCACCTCCTTGGTGCAGTCATTTCTTCAGATGGGTTTTGTCTTGGTGGAAATCAGAATAGGGAGCTCTTCCGCCTGTGCCCAGGGGTAGTGCTGGCCAGGGTGCACTCCTGAAGTCCCTTCTCTGGGCTAGCCATTCCATAGCCCATGGGTTGTAGCTCATGTTTCTATATAGAGTTATTGTTTTCCCCTAGGTAGCATCTTCCCAACCTCTCTTTTTTTTCCCCCCCACAGAAATTTTAGCTACTCTGAGAGGTCATTCTGGCTTGGTAAAGGGCTTGACCTGGGACCCTGTTGGTAAATATATTGCCTCTCAAGCTGATGACCGCAGTTTGAAGGTGTGGAGGACACTGGACTGGCAGTTGGAGACCAGCATCACCAAGCCTTTTGATGAGGTAATGAGACAGCATAGAGAGCTCAGCCCAGCGGCCTTCCAGGCCTCCATGCACGGAGTCTGCACCTTGTGGGTGAATGCAGAGTCCAGTGGCCTGAGCAGACTGAGCAGACCAGTCAGGGTTCTCTGGGGCAGGCACTCTAGCCTGAAGAGTCGGGTGATGAAAATCTCTCATTTCTCAGATGCTGTCAAATGTCCAACTTTGAGGTCAAAAAGATTTATAAGTCTTTTATATGCACTAACCCACGCCGGGGATAGCAGGACAAGGGGTAGAGTTGGCTCTGTCTGGTGTTTTTCCCGACTGCTGGCCCTGCTCCCTGACTTCCATCTGAGGCCAGCTGACTTTCTTGGGTAGAATTACAGTAGTTTGCAAAATGTCTGGAGGCCAGACCACAGCCACTTGAGTAGCCCTTACTATCATCTCTTCTGCTCGAGTTCTCATTTTTTGTGGGATCGGCACTCAAGCTCACCATTATTCATTAGAGATTTTGTAAGTGCCTACTATGTGTGAGGCAGTACTGTGTGCAGGAAATAAAAGTGGCTCTCTGTGGAGTCTCTTCCTTAAAGCTGAGAACATGGCGGGAAAGGCAGACATCCACGTTGTTGCGGGCGTGGCGCTGGGGTTGCGGAGCGTGCAGAGACGGTCCGGGCGTGTGGCACGGTCTCGTCGGAGAAGGCTGCTTGGGACAGGGCGTGAGTGCAGCTCTGCAGGGCAAGTGGAAGTTGGCCCACTGCTCAGGGCTCGTTGTGGGAGGACAGTTGAGGTATGTGTTCAGTTCTGCCCACACCAGCAGCAGCTCCTGGACTGGGCACACTGGCACCAGCATTCACCTCACTTAGTCCCGCCCTTCTTGGCTGCAGCCTTGTGCAGGGCACACAGGCCTCACACCTGCAGCTCCTCCGGGGCAGGCCTGCCCTCCCTCGGTCCATGGCCTGGCTGGAAATCGTGTCACTGCATTTGGTCCCTGCCTTGTCCTGCCCTCCTCTGAGGCTGGGTGTTCAAGATTTAATCCCTAAGTCTTTGGGGCTGCCCTGGACAAACATCGAGCTTCAGGGGGTTGGCGGGGGCTTTTGGCCTGTATCATTTCACTTTGCAAGGGAAACAGAGAGAAGGGATGCCCTGACTCATCCCTCATTCTAGGTCAGGGGAACAGTGCCTTTCTACTGGGCGTTTTATGGTCTGTTCAGACTTCATAAATCTCTTCTCCTTCGCCAGTAGCATCACCAGGCTTCAGGTGAGGACAAGGCTTGAGAGAGTGAGTGGTGGCTTGTGGTCACCAGCTGCCATCACAGAGATGGGCTCCTCCGGGCCAACAGAGCTCATTCTCTACCGCAGTGAATGGTCTTCAGACTTCATGTAGTGGGGTTAACAGGTGCTGGGCAGAAAAAAGGGGTCAGCGGCCAGATTGACTTGGCCCATGCAGGGTTGATGGATACAAGAGGTGTCCATCCTGTGGGTCCCCTCAGGGGCTCCCTCGCTGCACTGTGCTCACCTCCTGCGGGAAGAGTGCAGCGTGCTGTAGCTCCAAATCCCATCTGACTGCCTTTTTTGTTGTGTCGTCTGGACACACTGGAGTTGCAGCTGTCAGAGTAGTCAGAAGCTTGGCTGCAGGCTCCCCCATCACACATTTACGAATCGGGGCTCAGCTTCATTCTCCAGGCCAGAGTGCAGGTCATGGGACTGGCCTTGATTTCCTTTCAAGCACAGCTGTTTCTTTCAGTGCGGGGGGACAACGCATGTGTTGCGGCTGAGCTGGTCGCCCGATGGGCACTACCTGGTGTCTGCCCATGCCATGAACAACTCTGGCCCCACCGCCCAGATCATCGAACGGGAGGGCTGGAAGACCAACATGGACTTCGTCGGACACCGAAAAGCTGTGACTGTCGTGGTGAGTGTACTCAGAGTGGTACCCCCAGAGCCAGGGCAGGGCTGTGCTCCCCAAGGCTGAGTCACATATGCAACTGAGGTGACGGGCTCTGAGACTCATCACGCGTCATGTTTTTATTTCATTATAAATACGTATGTTCTGATGTTTAAAAATTACATTTATGAAGTAGCATGTGTATTCATGTGTTTTATTGGCAAACTATAACATGAATAACACAAAAATCAGCCTCTGATTAGTAACACTGGTGCTCTGCACTAGCCTTTTTACACGTTCGGATCTGTTCATGAGTGCTCAAGCACACGGTCCTGTCCAGTGCCCCATGCACCAGGCTCTGGAGGGCGCTGTGCGGTTTTTGGTGCGGTTTTTGCACCCCCAAGCATGCATGCTTCTCTCCACAGTGACCTGTTGTAGTGTCAGGGCTCTGCTTTGGCTGTTGTTTGCGTCTGGAGCTGCCTGCCCAATGTTGAAGTGGCGGGAGTGGAGGAGGTGCCAGAAGATGTGGGCCCTGTTACCCTCCCAGGGGTCAGAGCTTATCAGCCACTCCTTTTATGCTTCTGAAAAGTGTCTAGGGGAGTGCCCAAGGCAAACAGCCTCTGAGAACCAGAATCTCCTCCACACTGGGTAACGACAGCAAAGGCAGCAGACTGACTGGCAAAGGCTGATAAAAGTGAAGTATCACTAGGCCCCTGACTTTATAGTCTTTTTATTGACCAAAATGGGCTCCTTCTTCCCATTGTTTGAATTGATAATATCATATATTATGACTTAAATTTATACAAACAATATCACTTCTTTAATTTTTTTGTACTACAGCCTGTGTATGATTTTGTTGGAAACCAGAACCACATTGCTAAAGTGTTTGACAGTCACTGCTTTGTAGTTTGCACAGTGCTTCCATGTGACTCTCTCTCTCGGGACCCTCACGGAGCAGCTGTGGGAGATGGTTGTGAAGATGCAAGCCCAGGACACACGCCTCTGGGTTTCGTGTCCTCCAGGCTCTGTGTACCTCTGGCCATTCTTGCCTACCCCCACCCCCCCGGGGGCGCGGTTAGAATGCCTTGTGCCACCTGACACCGTTCCTTCTCGGTTCTCCTGGCTTGTGAATTTCACCTCTGAATCTAGAGCTTCCAACTGTTTTCAGTCCAGGAAAGCAACAAGGACCTCAGTGTGTGCTTCCAGCCTTTCCAAAAATGACACCCAGGTTACACTGGGGTGGTCCCTGAGCTGACCTTAGCCTGACATAGCCACCATCCCTGTTTGTGAGATCATGTAGGGCTGATCAGTCGCTATAAGACAGTATTGACTGTGAGCAAGGAATACAGTGAGGGGAAAGGAATACTGGAGCAGCCTCCCCTCTGAACCTTGTCCCTAAAGCCCAGGTCCTAGAGCTCGCCCTGCCCAGGCCAGGACGGGTTCAGTAGCTCCCCTGCCATCCACCCAACTGCAGGCCCAGACTGGAGAGATGATAGAGCCTGTTTCAAGTCCTTGTCTCACAACTTACTCATCACATGATGTGGCACACGTTTTATGGCCTCTCTGAGCCTCACTTTATCCTCAGCAAAATGCCTCCTGGGTGGTTGTGAAAGTCACCTAGGGGGATGTCTGCGGGGGCCCTCCTGGCGGGCTGCGATGGTGCTAGTTTGCAATGCTTATCATGGGATACCTGCTTAATGCTTGATCAATTATTTTAGCATTTGTTATTTGGCTTTAGAAATTCAACCCCAAAATCTTCAAAAAGAAGCAGAAGAATGGGAGTTCTGCGAAGCCCAGCTGTCCGTACTGCTGCTGTGCTGTCGGCAGCAAGGACCGTTCTCTCTCCGTCTGGGTGAGCTCCCCACTCTGAGTGGTTGCTGCTCCTGAAGGACAACAGGAGACAGGGCTGGTGACGGTTTGGAGCCTGGAGGCCCGGAAGAGGAGGGACCCCTGCTTTCACCCCATACCTGCAGCCCGTCCTCCTGTAGCCACTAAGGGGAGCACTGGAGACAGGGCCTCGGCCCAGCCAGAGCGGCTCCTGTGTCCAGACGTGGGGAACACCCTTAGTGATTGCTGCCATGGTTGGCTTGTGGTGTTTGCTTCATTTTTAAAATCCTGTATTGACATAAGATCTACATAAAGTGTATTCACCTGAAGCATACAGTTCGGTGCATTGTTGTAACATATTTACATGTGTAACCACCACCACCCCAAAATGTTCCCCGTCCCTGCCTAGTCGAGACCCCAGCCTCCAAGTCCCCCTCAGCCAAGGCAACCACTCTAGTGATGTCTGTCACATCGAGGAGTTGTGCCTGTTCTTAAACTTTATTGAAATGGAGTCGTGTAGTGTTTACTTTTTCTTGCATTGCTTTCACTCAGCACGATGTTGTTGGGACTCGTGTATGTTGTTACATTTAACAATGGTTTATTCCTCATTGTTAATTTTCCTGTAAGCAGAGCGGATTTGAAGTTGTAGGTGTGAAGGTTATTCTCTGGCTGCATTTATTACGGTCGTTTGTCACAGAGAAATTGATTGCTATGTTACACTGTGATTTTTTCAGGCCCAGTATTCATGTTACATCCATTGCAGAACCTGACCCTAGTGCCATCATAGGCAGTTCCAGGCATGTTCTTCCTGGGCTCCTCCTGGCCTGGGGCTCCATTCATGGTGCTTTGACCAAAACATCACTGATCGTGTGCTCATGTTTCTTATAAAATGGAGGTCAGTTGCTCACACAGGTCCAGATTTCTAAAGGGGTGTATAAAGACTTTTTTTGGGAGGAGGGCAGAGCTCTTTATTCTAGAAGTAGAATTAGGGTAGGGGCAAGATTCTTCTTACAGATTCCGGGTAACTCAGACTGCAGCCCTTTCCTCAGGATTAAAGTGGCTGAAACGCCTTTTTTTCTGCAAGAACAGTCCCAGCCTCCTGGAAGCTTCCACAGTACCTGGTGGGAGCCCTGCAGAAGGGTGTTCCCACCCTGTCGGCCACGCTGCGGCCCCAGGACCTGTCAGCAGAGAGTCAGACACTAGTGTTTGAGAGGTGGATCTCACTGTAAGGGTGGGAACGTGAGGCAGGGCAGGGCCCAGCATGAGAGTGACTAGATAACAAATAGGCCTGTGTGAATGTTACACAGTCATCTAAAACAGCTGCCCTCAGGACATTTAATGACATGCTCATTAGGTACTAAGTGACAAAGCAGGCACAGTCATGTGTCTTATTTTATGAAAGAGAACAGCTCATCCAAGCATTAATAGTGGTTAACTTTGGGTCTGGATTAGGGCAACATAAACCATTTTTATGTGCTTCTGCACTGTCCACACCCAGTATAGAGTGACATTGTGTGACATACACCAAGCCTTGCACAATGTGTACCAGAATTCCTTGGACCCAGAGAAGACGTGCTGGGTTTTCTCTGAGGCTGTTTTCCTGTCCTGGGAGCTGTCCTTCCTGTCTTGTCCCCTGCTCAGGCCTTGGCATGCTATCCCCTGCTTGGTAGATCTTCTCTGCCCAAGTCCTGACCCTTGCAGAGTCCCCTTCTCCATTGTTGGTGGTCTGTGTAAAAAGGCATCTCTCTGCCAGATCACAATGAGCCCATCAGACAGGGGCCACTGTAATTTGCACATTTCAACAAGGTTTCTACAGATTAGGATCTTGGTGGTTGCTGTTTGAATAGAGATGAATGTGTCCTATATGTCAGCAAAATTCTTACCAAGGCTTCAAGGACTGGTAGTTCTTAACTGAGCTGAGTAGACAAAAAAAATGGTCTTAATTCATTTTATTAACCTTTGCGTCTTCCTTTCTTCTAGCTCACATGTCTGAAAAGGCCTTTGGTTGTCATCCATGAGCTGTTTGACAAATCCATCATGGATATTTCCTGGTAAGATGGATTCTTGTAATGATGTACAGGCGAGGAGCAGAGAGGCCATGCATTGAAATACAGGGGCCCCTGGGTGTGAGTAGATTCAGGTAGCCAGGAACACCACACCACCTTCTGGATTTTGCCAGTGGAGCAGACCCCAGGGTGCTGTTTGCACACAATTCAGGAAAGGGCAGCGTGGTCCTGCTTTTGGGAGAGCGTCTGCTGCTGTACTCCCTGCTTCACTGGGAGGTGCCCCTAGAAAACTCCTTGTCCAATGAACTGGTCCTTAGGAGAAGGAGAGTGCTGTGTGCCTGGCTAGCTCCACTTCCGCTGTCCTTGCGTGATCCAGATTAGCCTAGGTGCGGAGACACATTCTGCTCCTCAGTGACCTCCTTTAGATGTATACTCCCCCATGTGTTTTTTTAAATGGTTTCAAAAATGAGATAAATGAAATGAAATTCTTACAAAAGACATGGTAAGAGATACTTTGTGCATGTGCTTAGAACTAAAGGGTGCCAGAACCTTCTGGGACTCTATTGTCTCCCCTGTCCCCATCCCCACAAGGCCACAGAAGGAATCAGAGGTTCTCAGCGTCAACCGAGAGCCCTGCCCTGCTGTTCTATGCCAGCCACTGAGGCATGCGGAGTACCCCAGGCACTTGCTCCCAGGCTGCTAACAGTCGTCTCTTTCAGGACTCTGAACGGGCTGGGCATCCTGGTGTGCTCCATGGATGGCTCTGTGGCATTCCTAGATTTCTCCCAGGATGAGCTCGGAGACCCCCTGAGCGAGGAGGAAAAGGTAGGAGAATACACTGCTGGCTAGTGACCCATGTGCTACACACGCTCTGGGGCCGCAGAAATGGCCACGATAGCTCTGAGAGGCCTCTTAATTCATGGGTGCCCCTTCCATTGGACCCGCTTCTCCTTTTTCTTTCTTTTCTTCTTCTTCTTTTTTTTTTTAACTTATAAAGAGAGGGGAAGGGAGGGAGGGGGGGAGAGAGAGAGAGAGACATCAACGTCTGAGAGATACTTCCATCAGTTGCCTCTTGCACACCCCACAGTGGGGACCTGGCCCACAACTCAGGCCAGTACCTGATTTGGAATTGAACTGGCAATCTTTTGGTTGGTGGCAGGCTCTCAATCCACTGAGCCACACTGGCCAGGGCAGGACCCTTTTCTTGTGATATACACAGATACGTTGTTTCTTAATGTACTATTGGGAGTTCATCTTTTAGAGATTATAATCATTGTTTTCTTTACAAAATAGATTCATTTAAAAATGAGTCTCTGTTCATGTCCAAACTCAGTTCTGGAATGAAGAGTAAAATAATTTGGGGCATCTCCTCCTGAGCTGATAATTAGCCACACACTGGGAGGTTTCACCCTGGGAGAGAGCTGGGGAGAGAGAGCTCCCCGGAGTCCCCGTTCTCGTCCCTTTCCCCATTGTCTTGTACTGACACAGTTGCCACGAGGCAGCAACTAAATAGTAGTATTGACTGTTTCTCAGCGCTTATTACATGCCAGATTTCTGGATTGTGTGTCTGCATATATTATTTCACCTAAATTACACAAAACCCTTGAAACAGAGCTTACATGTTTCATCAGTGAGGTAACTAAGCCTCTCAGCAAATAGTATGGCCCTTGGCTGAGACCATATATGACCTTTTGGTACAAGAACAGAAACCTGAATCAGGCCCACTTAATGTCTTTGGACTAGACCTCTTGCCTGTGCTATGTCCAGGGCAGTGTGGCCCATGTGCCTTTTCTCAAGAGCTTTAAGAACAACTCTGCTATAACCATAAACTTAGAACCAGCATTTCTACAAATGGGCCTTTGTCAACACTAGTTTGTCTGATAGGAGCCCTCTGAAAGCTCAGAGCAGGTGGGCATCTCCCTCCCCTAGTGTTTCAGTTGCTAGTAGAAGCTCCCTCTTAAGCTGCTTTGTGGACTTCCCACTATGCTGTAAACCCTTCAAGGGTAGTGTGTCTGCCTTGCTGACAGCACCTAGCATAGAGCCTGGCACCCTGGCAGTTGATTGTCAGTGAAAGGATGAATGTCTCAGTGGCCTCAGGTCTTCCTTTCACCTTTTCACTGGAATCACTGTTCATGCCCCTCCCCCTTAAAGAGTCACAGTGGGAGCCTACATAATAACCTGTCTAGCTTATCATATTCCAGGTGACAGGTAGGGATCCCGTGTATGAAGAATGCTAGGGAAACTTTGGCCAAACACTGACTTCTGCCTTGAGATTCCAAGGGAGGGATTCAGAGAAGAGGGGCCAGGAACCAGGGTGGTAAGGGAGGGAAGTTCCTGGCCACATACAGGCATACCAGGCCTTGCAGGAGTACGTCCCAAGGTGCCACTTCCCCCATCTAGCATCCTCTGCTGTGAGGCAGATGCCTTCCTGACCTCCACGTTGTTTGTAACATATCATTACGTGAATCTCTTCATCGTATCAGTCACTCCCAGTGTTCTGGGGACATCATTCCTGCCCTCATGGTATGTTGTGTCATGGGACTAATGAGACTTGGGAAGATAAAGGGAGGGGCCCTGCTCAGAAGGTTTGGGACAGCAGGGACAGAGAAGATTTCCCTAGGTCTGCTGTGCTGGGCCCTCCCTTGTTCTTAGAAACACTGTTAGCAGCCTCATGGCAACTTCCAACCACACGGGGCTGATGGCTACAGATAAGAGCAGTGGAAGCGCACTCTGGGTTCAGCATCTGATTCCCAAAGAGTGTTTGGGGCTCTTGAAGTAATTTAAAAGCCTGAAGTTATCGATTTGAGTGTCTTAACTTTAGTTCAACAAACACTACTTGTTCTGCACCGAATATATAGTAGGTATTTTCTAGTTGGTTATTCATTTACTTTCGTCCCCAGCTATAGATACACAGGAGGCTATAAATATCTAGGGAAAACACAAGACTGCTGCAGAGTCATCTAATAGGCATCAGGCAGAAAGGGGAGGGAGGCCGTGGAGAGCTGGCATTGACGCTCTGGGACCCCTGTTCAGGGCTCTTTCTGCTCTCAGAGTCAAGAGAGCCAACACACGCACGGCTCACCCACTGGTGGGCAGTATCTATCGCTTGGTTGCTCACAGCTATTTGTACTTTTCTCTGCTTTCTCTAGAGCCACATTCATCAATCCACCTATGGCAAGAGCTTAGCTATCATGACTGAGGCCCAGCTCTCTACAGCTGTCATCGAGAACCCTGAGATGCTTAAGTACCAGCGGAGGCAGCAACAGCAGCAACTGGACCAGAAGAGTGCCGTAGCCAGAGAGACGGGATCAGCTGCCTCAGTCACTGGCGTCGTCAATGGGGAGAGTCTGGAAGACATCAGGAAGGTGAGAACTTGGCCCAAGGGCACTGAGAATATAGCACATGCTAGGGACGGGGCATGGGGAACAGGCAGACTGGGCAGGGCACAGACTCAAGTGGTCAGGAGGCAGGTGTGTGCTGGGCCTGGTGTAAGACCTGGGGTGAGCCAGCTTGGGCCCACTTGGCACCTTACCTTCAACTGCATGAGGTAGCAGTGGGGATTAAGCCACCTTTATCAAAGGCCTTTTTGCCTAAGGAGCTCTAGAGAAGTTCATTTCTTACAGGAAATTGGCCTTTCTAGGAAATTCTGTATGCAGCAGGTCCTTGAATAATGTCATTTTGTCATTACAACATTGATGAGAAAATAAAAAATTGATTCCTGGCTGGGCCCACTCTGTGTGGAGTTTGCACGCTCTCCCCATGTTTCTCCCACACCCCAAAGACGTCCATGTTGGGCTTACTGTCTCCGGTGTGCCCTGAGCTGTGGAAATAGGCTCTGGCCATCCATGACTCTGAACTGCAATAAGTGGGTTGGAAAATAATCGTCTTATTTGCTTTTCTTAATCTTTCTTACATGTATGTTGTAGCTCACATATATTTCATGTTTAATATTAGAAGTATTTCAGGTCTCTAATTTGGTGATGTTTTTATGATCAGAAATATGTCGTAGGAGCTTAACTCTTGTTTATATCAAATAGCCTATGGTGAAATTGGTTCCTTACATGTTGTCCTGCCCACAGTCAGTTTCCAAGACCCTATCGATGACACTAAGTGACGATTTACTGTACTGAGAACATTGGGTTTTAGTCTCTGCCCTTAGGAGACATCTGTGGGCCCCCCGTTCTTCATCTGGAGGTCCACATCTCACTGAGGGGCAGAAGGTAGAGAAGGGCAGCAAGGTTAGAATTGCCTAGAGTGCTTAAATCATCTTCAGGAGTTTGTGAAGGGTAATGAACATCTCCAGGTGGTTCAGATACCATGTGTGACTGGGAACCCTTTCTTCCACCCTCTAGTGGAAGAAAGTTTGCAAACCACAGCTTAGAAAACAATAGAGTGGCTTATGAGTGTAAGTCTCATCTGTTAGTTCCCTCCTCATTGATCCCCGTGGCTACTCACCTTCCCCTGGAACCTGGCCAGGCCTGCAGTACTAGTGATGAAGAGGGAGGGGCTGGAGCCGGTTCACCTGGAAGCGTTCTGTCCTTTCTCATTTACTATGCAGGAAGTGGAGCATGCACCCTGATGGAAACATTTGCTCCTGGATTAGGTGGCTTAGTTTAGTTGGACTAGAAGTCTATAGAAAGGGAAGTTAAAAAGCATTTTCTTAGAGGCATTATTTTTTGTTATTTGGAGATAGTTGGCATAAACTTTTCCATTCATTTATGTCACTCTGCTTTGCCAGAATCTTTTGAAGAAACAAGTTGAGACTCGGACGGCAGATGGTCGGAGAAGAATCACTCCTCTCTGCATAGCACAGCTGGACACCGGGTACTCGATCATTCACCAAGCTTTCCATGGCCTTGTCTGGGAGGCCTTCCTCTCGCCTTTCACCAGTTGGCACTTTCATAGTCAGGGTCTTCGCAGGCTCTTGGGCAGATCTGACCTATAGAAAATGGAAGTCGATCCCAGCTTCCCCTCAGCCTCAAAGTCCAGTGTTCCACACAGAGCCCTTACACAGACTTATTTCATCCTGAAGGTGGGCTAGGAAGAGCCTGTGACGGGCCAGCGGGCAAGGGCACCTTAGGAGCGCCATTGGATCTACTCAGCCAGCCCTGCTTCATTCTTGGTGGGGCACTGGAAGACACCAGGGAGAGAAATTGGACTGATTTTCTTTCTATTTCTTTCTTCCCTTTTATATATAGCCTTCTTCTTTTAATTGTGAAAGGAATATATATATATACACCTTGTTGAAAATAGTAGAATCCGTCCCCGACTGATGTGGCTCACTGGGTTGGACATCATACCACAAAATGAAAGGTCACTGGTTCAGTTCCCAGTCAGGGCAGATCCCTGGGTTGCAGGCCACGTCCCTAGTTAGGGAGCTGCGCGAGGCACCCAGTTGCAGTTTCCCTCTTTCGTCCTCCCTTCCCTTCTCTCTAAAAATAAATAAATAAATAAATTCATATTTGCTTTATTTTTATTTATTTATTTATTCTCAGAGAGGGGAAGGGAGAGAGAAAGAGAGAAACTGCAACTGGGTGCCTCTCGCAGGTCCCCAACCAGGGACCCAGCCTGCAACCCAGGGATCTGCCCTGACTGGAAATTGAACCAGTGACCCTTTGATTTGCAGGCCAGCGCTCAATCCACTGAGCCACACCAGCCAGGGCCATTTTGGTTTTTTAAAGAAAATGGTAGAAGTCCAAAGATGAGCATAAACATTATCCATAAATCAGTTTTTCAGGTATAATCACTGTTAATATTTTGGTATCTCTATCTCCATTCTTTTTTCCCCACTTGTGCCTTTACCTGGACCTTGTACTCATTTTAATAAATAGTCCTCAGAAGCACTGGCTTGCTGAATGGGCAGGTTCCCAGCCTGTGAATGCACCATGATTTACTTAACCAGCCCCTTCATAGACTTGTAGTTTTTTACTGTAAATGAATCTCTGAGCCTACCTGTGACTGTTACTTCAGACTGGGTCCCAGAAGTGGGATTGCTGGGTGCAGAGGGGGTCTCCGAGGCACACTTACCTGAGGGGGCCAGGAAAGGGAAGCTCACCTCTACGTGTTTGAGCACCTGTAGTGAGGCTGGCTTTTGTATGCATCCTTCTCCCCCAAACGACGTATATTAATTTGCTGATAAAGGCCTGTGTGAAAGAAAGCGATTACCCCCTGTTCAGGATGATTTACCTGGTTTTATACTCATGCAGTGGACCTGCTTGGGGCAACCACACACAGTAGGCCTCTACACTTTGCAGTTGTTCATCCATGAGCTATTCCAAATCTTGCAGGGACTCTAAAGAGACCTTCAGTCACAGGATGTGCTAATTGACCTCCTGGTGTTAGGTGTTTTGGCGCTGAGGCCCTGGAGGGCAGAGACCTGACTGGTACAGCCAGGATCAGTGTCCTGACTCCTCTCAGAGGGTAATTTTCCTTTGAGAAGAGTTTCCCATTGTGAACCTATATAGGGTAATGCTGCCTGCCTACCTTTTATTGGAACCAAGTGCCACCGAGTATGTGACTGTACTTTGAAGACTGCGAGATTTGCGGGAGGGTCATGAGGTGGAGGTGGTGGAGGTGGTGGCCGCAGCAGCACTTCTGTTCTGTAGGTCCATCCTCGTAGGCCTCCCACGGCGAGAGGCAGAGGGAGAAAATGGCTGCCTGCCTGCACCTGAGCCAGCTTCCTGCCTAGGGCTCATTTTCTGCCACCAAAACTTCATTTTCTTGATCTTCAGGGCTTTTTTGCCCTCCTGATACCTATGTTAAAGCAAGTAGTTACAGAATAATTATTAGCTAGCTAATTAAGAAAGAAAAGAAAAGCACAAATGTTTAAAGTAGGACTAAGTGGGAAATAACTATGGATAAAGAATAAATCAAAAGGATGAAAGTATTTGCTGAACTCTGCAAATAAATTCGAAAGTGGATGATTTTTGAGGAAAATAAAATTAGCAAACTGAAGAAATCTGTGCAGATGGATTATTATAGAAGTAGTAGAGAACACCGTCAAAGGGTTAACCTGCCAAAACCCACCAGACTAAGAAGGCTTCACGTGCAAATCCTAACAGACGTTCAAGGAACAGAGCATTCTAATATAATTGAAAATGGTCGAGTATGTAGAAAACAAGCCTACAAAATCTTTTTCTTTGAAATGACACAGTATTTACTTCAAAACTTGGCAGAGACAGAATGTAATAAATCCCTGGTCAGTTTCATTTCTGACTGTCAATGCAGAATCCTAAATAAATAGTAATAAACAGAACCTTCCAGTGTGTTGAAAGGTTAATACATTAAAACTAAATAAAGATTAATTTAGGAAAGCAAAGCGGTTCAAATTTTGGGAAACTTAATTTACTTCTACATGTCAGTAGATCCAAAAATTATGTGGTCATTTCTATAGATGCTGTAAAGGTATTTATACTAAACTCAACATCATTCTTATTTAAAATTCATTAAATGGGAATAGATGTATGCTTCATAAACTATCTTAATTCAATTAAATTTTAAAACTAATCAAATGTCTACTCTTGTGACAATAATTTGCCATTGTTCTAAAGGTCCTTGCTCAGTCCAGAGAAAGAATAAATTGGAAAGGATATGGAAAATGTATTATTATTTCAAGTTGATATGCTCTATAAGAGCATCATCACCTGGAAAAACTGCCATGTGCAATAAAAAAAGAAAGTAAGAGGACTGTATATCACCAATGTGATGAGATTAAGTAGCAGCAACTACTCTGAGAAGAGATAAAGGAAGAAACCAGTTTCACAAATGCAGTACCTGATGGTAACAAGAAGTATAGAAGATCTTAATGAAGAAAAAGGTTTAACCCTACTGAGAGACCTAAGAAATTCAGAGTTACAGGAAATGTGTATCATTTTTTTAGCTAGGATGACTCAACATCATAAAGTTGACAGATTTCTCTCAACTGCAAGTATAACATGAGCCGTAAAAATAAACACAGTTTTCTAAATCAAACAATCAGATTCTGAATTTAAGTAGAAAAAATAGGAATAGCTGAAATATTTTTGAAAAAGATTAATTAGGAAGACTAGCCCCATCAGAAATTAAGGGTTAGAATAATTAAAACAGGAAGATACTGACATATGAATAGACAGAATAGACATTGGGATACAATAGAAAAGTAAGAAATTAGTTCAAATATTTGTAAAAATATTAAAGGTAATGTTTTGCATCCTTGGTGAATCATTACCTAATTCAGTAAGTGGGAGTCAGGACTATTTGATACTCTAGAAACAAAACTGAAGCCCTGCCTCAACCTAAAAGTCTGAACAGCTCAGAGGTTTTTTTTTAATGTTTAACTATTTTGTTTAAAATTTTAGAAGAGTCCATAGAAGAATATTTTCATAATCTCTGAGGTAAAAACGTCTGCTCTGACACAAAATTTAGACCACAGAAAAAACTTTTGTGACCCATTTCTTTGCAAAATAACTTTTTTTTGCAAAGAAAATTTCATGATAAAGAATCAAAATACAATATTCTGGGGAATGTATTTGTTGCTCATATAAAGAATTCTTTTATAAGTGAATAGTCTTCAAATCAGTAATAAAGACCAAAAACCAGACAGACCAGCAGGTGAAGGATATGTACAAATATTTCACAAAAAAGAAAATGATGTTTCCATATGAAAAAATTTCAATCTTACATCAAAATAACTGCAAATTAAAACTGTAGGAAGATACTATTTTTCATCTCTCAGTTGTCAAATATTAAGAAATTTGATAAAATTTCTGGCAAGGGTGTGGGGTTATAGATACTCATACACAGGTTGTGATTTTAAACCTTTAAGGAGGGCACTTTATCACTATTTGTCACAGATCATTAATGAACATTTCACTGGCTGCTGCAATCCCACTTTTAGGAATTTATCTTAACGTCGAATGTGAAGCAACAAGTGTAATGACAATTACAATAATGGGCATCTTTGAGCAGCCGCTATGTGTTCTGAGTGTTCGCTACACTAACTTTAGTCCTGACAGTAACCTCCTGGGGAAGGTCCTGTCATTTTCTATTTTGCAGATAGGAACCTGAAGCACAGAGTGGTTGATGAGCCCAAGGCCCCAGGGCTGGTGCACAGCAGAGGAGTGAACCCTGGCTGGTCTGGCCCAGGGCCCTCAGCCTTAACACTGCGGCACCTCGCCCCTGTCGCAGCAGTGTCTATCACTGAAAAGGCTGGGACACAGCCCTGCCCGGTTGTTCCTCAGTAAAGACTGGTTAGGTAAATTATGGTACATCCATGTAGCCTGTAATGGAAGCGAGGCCCACTCTGTCTGCTGTATTTCATTAATTCTGAGGCTCGTGTTTGCACGTTTTAGCACCTCTGAGATTAGGGTGCATCTTATAACTGGTGACAGCTGACAGTTATATTTGTTAACAGTTTTTTCTCAGTGGTACGTAAAGTATCGGTTCACCTTAGATTCATTTAGACGGAGTATATGGAATGATTTAGTTCTGTATTTTTACAAATTTTCTTCCATAAAAATAAATTACCTTTGGATCCAGAAAAAAGTTCCTTAGGAATGTATAAAGTACTTGACGTGGACTCTGGTTTCCGAGGCTGACTTTGTTCTTCTTGGCCACAGGGACTTCTCCACGGCGTTCTTTAACAGCATCCCACTCTCAGGCTCCCTGGCGGGCACCATGCTCTCCTCTCACAGCAGGCCGCAGCTACTGCCCCTGGACTCCGCTACCCCCAACTCCTTCGGCACCCCAAAGCCTTCCACCGAACCCGTGGCAGCAGCCGGCACCAGGCCTGCGGGCAATTCTGTCAATAAGGACAGGTGAGTGAGGGCCAGAGTTGCTTCTGTCCCTAAGGGAAGTTCAGGTTTAGGCCATTCCAGGGACATTTCATGGCCCCTCCAATAAAAAAAGAAAGAAAAGAGATACTGTATTTTAGATGAGGGCCTGCTCGGAAGGGACGCCTTACTCAGGTTTGTCTCTGATGCATAGGACTGTGAGGACTTGAAGTCTTAGGGGAAGATGCATTCCCAGGATTTGGCTGCTAAGCGTAGAAACCAGCCAGGCACACGTCATCTTCCACAGGATCAGCCCCACCTTCTGGCAGGTCTACACTGGAGGTGGCGTGGGCTCCACTGCAGCATTGGTAGCATCGCCACACCATCATCGCAGGCAGGGTGCTCGTGTGCTGGGGCACAGAGTCCCCTTGCACTCTCAGAATTATGTTTGCTCAGGGAGCTTGTGTCTTCACCAGCCATTCCCCAGAAACCAAACGAGAAGTCAGGAAGAACCAGAGGAGCATGACCAAGAGCCAGAAGCCATTTTCCCAGGATCTGCTCTGGGCTACACATTGTCTTAGGGCCCAGACATCTACAGGGGGTTGACTGGTGGGTCCTTGTACCCAGAGCATGTGTAGGCTGGTTGAGAAAAAGGCAAATGCAGAGGTAGGGATGGCTCCTGGGGTCTCCTGGATAAATGGCTAGCCATCCAAAGTAGTGGGGTACAGGGATTTTTGATCTCAGGAAGGCTTATTAGAGGGCTCCCTGCTTAGGGCCTATACACGCCACCCAGGGGAAAGGGTTGGGGACATCAGCAAGAGTAGAACTCCAAGGCCCTGAGGAGTGACAGTAAAGGGGGAGAAAGCTGGGCTTCTGTGCTGAATCAGGTATCCCGGGCTTTTCCACGGAGTGGGGACTCCAAAGGCTCTGGACTTCCACCTCAGGAGAGTTACTCCAGGAGGCTTTAGTGCCCGAGTGTAGCTGCCACCCTGGCACACAAAACTGCTACTGTTCAAATGATTCTCCATGGGTGGGGACAGGTCTTATGTTATTGCAGCCTCCTACTTCCTGGGCTCTGCTGTCATGGCCACGGGGGCACGCACCAGTTGGCAGGCATCACGTGTCTGAGGGAAGTATGAGGGTAGAGGGGAAGGGGGAATGTGGAGCAGCTAGACAGTTAGGAAGCAAAACTTCTGGGAAGGGTGTCTGAAGGACAGAAAGCTCCAGATCTGTGAAATGTTTCAGCAGTTGGTCTTGCATTCCCTAGAGAAGAGGAGAAGGCTGTCAGGAGACCTGTCAGGTATCTTGTGTGGGGTCCGGGCAAGTGGATTTGGTCATTAGGAGGCCAGTGGTTTGGGGACCCGCTGTGAGAGATGCACTTGTACACAGGGAAACCCCTCAAGCTCATGCCTGGGCTCTCCTTTCCCAGGAGTAGAAGGCAAGGGCCATGGGGTGAACACTCGCACGAGAGTGTGAAGAATGTGTAGTTGTCACATGGAGGTGGCATGGGCCACCCAGACTGGAGGTTGAAGGCCGGGAAAAGGCAGTGGCTTCAGGACCCCAGGTGGGGCTTTTCTCATTGGACCCATTGTCAAAGTGGGAAAAGGTGGTGGTTGGAGTGTTTTTGGATTCAAGCTGTATTCAAGTTGTAGAGATGGGGCCAGATGGTGAGAAACAAGGGTTCCAAGAACCACTTTCTGGACCTCACGCTGCCCCCAGAAGCTCTCAGAAAAATGCAGTGGGGCAAATGGGAGTGTATTTTCTTATAACCTTCTCTGATAGCCAAACTTCCAGAATTTTAATACATGAAAAAATTTTTTGAATAATTAGGAATAGTAGATTATATCTTGAAATTTTTGTTTGTAGAAGTTTGATGTTTGTGTCCCTTTGACTTGACTCCACGTAATGCAAATCCCAGACTCCCAGATCCTTGATGAATTGTGCCTGACATGCTCTCCTGTCTTCTTCCCCTACCCCAGCATGAACGCTACCTCGTCTCCTGCTGCCTCATCCCCCTCTGTGTTGACAACCCCATCTAAGATCGAACCCATGAAAGCATTGGACTCCCGGTTCACGGAGCGGTCCAAAGCCACACCCGGTGCTCCTGCCTTGACCAATGTGACTCCGACAGCTGTTGAAAGGTAGGTGGTGGCTGCGTGGGGCTCCGAGGGACCAGGGAGAGTGCAGTCTTGGGCCAGCAGTACAGCGTCCTCACTCCTACCGAGCAGCCTGCACTCCCTGGATGCAGGGGGAGCAGACTCCAGTCTCTCCGTACTTGGGAGCCCCTGTTTCAAGGAGAAAGGAAGAGCTGCTTCAAGTGGGAAGGCTAATGGAAGGAGCCCCAAGTTTGCCCAGAAGAGGAGCCGGGGATGGTTGGAGAGATGGAAGGCTTTGATATTGTTGCATTGTGGTTGAGCTCTTGCTTCTTGCCCACCCTCTGCACCTCCCTTGGAGTGTGGGGGGGGGTTGGGGTCCGGAGGAGGTTTTGACCCAGCATTTAGAAAGAGTATATGTTCTGCAGGGACTTTCCCTCCTAGGGGGTACAAGTTCCCAATAAGCACTGCCTGAGATGGATCAATCCAGAGTTGTTTGTGGCTATGGGTTTTTCTATCATAAAGTTGTCAGATGCAGACTATCTTGTTTATATAGTGCATGAAGGTAGGAAAGATTAATATACTTTCCCATATATAAAAATTAACTCAAAATGGGTCAAAGAACTAAATGAAAGAGCTAAAACTTTAAAACTCTTAGAAGAAAACATAGATGTAAGTCTATGTGGCCTTGAGTTAAGCAACTTCCTTCAGGTGTCATCTCACACAACTAGAGAAGAAATAGAGTTCAGTGACAGTGTCTTTGACCCAGGGGCTCTGTCATGTCCAGAGGTATTTATTCAACATTATAATGGAACACATTTACCCAATTTCCTTAAAAGACAAGTGTTGAAAAATAAGCTGTTGATTATGAACCTCTCATTAATGTTTATGGAGACCGAAGGACTATGGGAAAATAGTGTAAACAGAGTATTATTTGAAAAAGACAGCATATAGTTGTATTAAAATATAATTATAAAGTAAATTAATCAGAAATGAAAGAGTTGAAATTATTACCAGTTTTACAAAAATAAGAAAGGTGAAGGTATTTAATTGTATATCAATAAGTTAGATAACTCAGGTGAAATGGATAAATTTCTTAAAGACATAAACTACCAAAATTGACTCAAGAAGAAATGGCAATATGAATAGACCTATAACAAGTGAAGACTTTGAATTAGTGATCAAAACAACTACCACTGCCCTGGCTGCCATAGCTCAGTGGATTGAGCGTGGGCCTGTGGACCAAAAGGCTGCCAGTTCGATTCCCAGTCTAGGGCACATGCCTGGGTTGCAGGCCAGATCCCCAGTAAGGGGGCATGTGAGAGGCAACCACACATTGATGTTTCTCTCCCTCACTTTCTCCGAGACTTCCCCTCTCTAAAATTAAATAAATAAAATCTTAAAAAAAAAAAAAAAAAACACTACCCACAAAGAAAAGCGCAGATGGTTTTATTCTTTATCCTACCAACCATTTAAATAAGTAATACCAATTCTTCACAAACTCTTCCAAAAAATAAAAGAGGTCAAAACATTTTCTAACTCATTCTGTGAGGCCATTATCATCTATATACCAAAAGCACACAGATACCACAAGAAAAGAAGACTGCAAACCAGTATCTCTTAGGAACATGGACACAAAAATCCTCAAAAATATGGCAACATATAAAGAAGCAGACACAGTGACCAAGTAGGATTGATCTCAGAAATGCAAAGTTGGTTCAACATGTGAAAATTAACTCACATAATGGACTATCACTAGGAAAAAATACACCATGTGATCAGAACCCAATACCTATTCATGATTTAAAAAAAAAACAACTCATCAAAGAAGGAATAGAAGGCTCCTTTCCCTAATCTGATAAAGGGCACTTTGAAAACCCCACAACTAACATACACTTAGTGGTAGAAGACTGAACGCCTTTCCCCTAAGGTCAGAAACGAGACAAGGGTGTCAGCTCTCCCCACTTCTGTGTCACATCATACTAGAGTTTCTGGGCTAAGCGACTTAAGCAAGGTTGTGAGATACGAGGTCAATACATAAAAATCACTTGTATTTTTATATACTAGCAAAGAACAGTCCAAAAATGAAGATAAGACAAAAACTCTATTTACTTACAACAGCATAAAAGAGAATAAAATACTTAGGAATAAGTTTAACAAAAGAGCCCTGACTGGTGTGGCTCAGTGGATTGGGCGTTGCCCTACAAACTGAGAGGTCACCAGTTCAATTCCTGGTCAGGGTACATGGCTGGGTTGCGGGCCAGGTCCCCAGTTGGCAGCATGCAAGGGTCAACCAGTTGATGTTTCTCTTGCATATAGTTTCTCTCCGTCTCTTTTTCCCTCCCTTCCCTTCTCTCTAAAATAAATAAATCTGTTTTAAAAAATTTTAACCAAAGAGTTACAGTGTAAGTATAAAACTTAGACTCTGGACACTGTAGTAAAGGAACACATTTCAACACGTTGTTGAAAAAAATGAAAGGAGGCCTGATTAAATGGACAGACATTTCATGGACTGGAAGACAGTATTGTGATGGTGACGGTGACTCCCCAAGTTGACCTACAGATTTATCACAATGCTTTCCAGAATTCCAACTGTCTTTTTTTTTTTAATTTTTAATTTTTAGAGGAGTGGTAGAGAAACATCAGTTTGTGAGAGATGTACAAGAGATACACTGATCTGTTGCCTCTTGTGTGCTGCCACCTGGGGACCTGGCCTGCAACCCAGACATGTGCCCTGACTGAGCTTGAACCAGCAACCTTTTGCTTCACTGGCCAGCACTCAGTCCCCTGAGCCACACCAGCCAGGGCTTTTTATTTTTTAGAAGTAGGAAAGCTAATCCCAAAATTCATTTGGAAAGTCAAGGGCCCCAAAGTAGCCAAACAGTCTTGGGAAGAAAGTAAAGTTGAGGGACTCTCGCTTCCTGATTTCAAACCTAACTATAAAGCAATAATAATCATGACATTGTGGTTTTAGCCCAAGCATACACATAAGGTCAAAAGAATAAAGTAAATCTAAAAATAAAGCAATATGTCTTTGTTAGCTCTAGGTTTTTTCTGGTTATTATTTATAAAATTGAGGCAGTTCTACTCTATTCCTAGTTTGCTAAGAGTTTTAATCATGTCTAGATGCTTGGTTTTGACATAGATGTTTTTTGAATGTTGAACCTGTATGCATACCTAGAATAAATCTCATTTCATCATTATATATTATTCTTTTTTATATATTGTTGGGTTCAGTTTGCTAGTATTTTGTTGATTTTGTGTTTATGTTCATGAGAGGTATTGGTCTGTATGTTTTTTTTCTTGTCTGTGTTTGTGCAGGTTGAAAGAGCAGAACCTTGTGAAAGAGCTGAGGCCCCGGGACCTGCTGGAAAGCAGCAGTGACAGCGATGAGAAACTTCCTGTGACCAAGCCCTCTTCACTCTCCAAGCGAAAGCTGGAGCTCGAGGTGGAGACAGTGGAGAAGAAGAAGAAAGGGCGACCCCGGAAGGACTCTCGACTCATGCCCATGTCTCTGTCTGTCCAGGTGAGGCCAGCAGGCCTGTGCCACCTTCCACAGTCCACCTGCTGAGCTTGCATGTGCCCAAGTGGGAGAAGGGAGGCCCTGCACACCAGTGTGCCTCATCAGTGTGGGAACAGCTGGTTTAGACATGTGCTCCCCTGGAGGTAGCATGGAGGCCATGCTCCCCTCAGACCTGCCCTCAACCCACCCCGAGCCCTGGAGCAGCTCCCTGGTGTCAGCTGCCTCATCTGTCAAGTGGGATCTGCACTGTTGTCCTCCCAGAGTGGGTGGAAAAGCCTGGGGAGCTGGCCTGGCTTCGTCTCTAGTTGACTCACCTTTACCTGACACTGTCCTACAGTGCTGGGGAGGGGCTTAAGGACATTTCTGCTATTGCAGTCCCCAGCTGCTCTGACCGCAGAAAAGGACACTGTGTGTTTGTCTGTGCCAGCGCCTGCACTGAAGCTGCCCATGCCGGGCCCCCAGAGAGCATTCACGCTCCAGGTGAGCAGGCCTCCTGCCTCTCCCTCACAAGTGTTTTCCCTCTCACTCTGTCCCCACTTCTCCCCCAAGCCCCAGTGTAAACCCTGAGTTGTCATAGACAGGGCTGTTTCCCAGTGGCTCTCCGTCACCTTCTGGGGGATGTTGTAGTCAGCAGGGCAGCCTCTGAGCAAGATCGCCAGCCTGTTCTCCAGAACTCTACACACCCCCCTCACCGCTGTCCGCACACTTCTTTCTCCTCTGGCTTTGCCCTCACAGTCCCTGCTGCCATCTTCTGGGTACACAGCTCTTTCCAGATTTGTCTCAGGTGTCGCTTCTCCGTACTTGGTCCCGGGCTGCCTGGAGGCAGGGAGCACAGCCCCTCTCCCAAACTCCTCCAGTGGTCCCAGTGCGTTTCACCACTGAGTGCTATTTGGGACTGTTCTTGGTTTCCATATGGCCCTCTGCCTCAGGTCACCCACTCATGCAGCTACAGTGAGTACAAAGTATTCAGCCATTCTGCCTGGTTTTCCACACAGATTATCAGTTATTTCCCCAGATGCAAAAAAATGAGGCTGAGCTGATGTGGAGCCAGGCACTGAACCAAGAGCTTCTGTTTATGCTCTTTTGAGCACACTCCTATGAGGTTGGTTTCAGATGAGTAGACAGAGCTTTACTACCAAAGGAACTAGAGGGGACTTTGGATTTTCTAGACTTTTCCTTTAGACACTGGCACAGACTTTGTGATTGCCAAGCATTGCCATCTTTGAAGGCCTTCAGCTAGGAGGCAAGAGACCCATGTCTCACTTGCAGCTCTGACCCCAGCTGGCTGTGGTCCTCACTTGCAGTGTGCTCATGGACAAGTCATACAGCTTCTCTGCAGGCTCCCTTGGGAGAGAAGGGGTCAGGAAGCTCTGGAGTCTTCAGCTTAGGCACCAGTTCTCTGCTCTGCTGCATGGATGACCAGGCACAAATCAGCTCCCAACATTCTCCCAGTCTTGGCAGGCCGTACATTCAACCCTCTGGTCCCCCACCCTATCCCTGCCCTCACTACCACCCTTCTGTTGGCCAGCCAGCTCTGTCTGTCTCTTATGTCTTACTTCTGCCTCAGGCCCAGGGCTATGGGCCTCTAACGCCTCCCCTGTCCCATGACCCAAGTCTGGTAGGCCCACCGTTACCTGAAAAGAATGTCGTGTTTGCTTTCCTCCATTCAGGTGAGCTCCGACCCCTCCATGTACATTGAGGTGGAGAATGAAGTGACAGCAGTGGGGGGAGTGAAGCTGAGCCGCTTGAAGTGTAACCGGGAAGGGAAGGAGTGGGAGACGGTGCTCACCAGCCGCATCCTCACTGCTGCTGGTAGCTGGTAAGGGCAAGGGTCTTCCCCCGGCTCAGCGCTTCTGGCAAAGCAAGCACCGTGTGTTGTGCTGTGCAGCACACTTGCTATTGGAGAGGATGAGCTGCCCCCGAGTGCTAGCTCCCGTGGAGACCTGTGCCAGACCTCGCTCTGGGCTGAGTGCATGCACCTGCCATCCCAGTCGCTGCAACACCCAGTGAAGTTGGCGCCGTTATCTCCATGGCACAGGAGGGGAAGCTGAGTCCTAGCAGCTCACCCACACCAGGATTTTTGACCCAGGTGTTCCGATTCCCCCGTCTGCCCAGAATTCTGAAGTCTCAGGTCCCAGGAGGAGCTCTGCCTGGCTCTGACTTGGGGTGGTTCTTTCTCTGGATCCCAGATTTTAATCCAAGGAGGTCAGGACAGATTTCTGACTGCCCCTGAAGCCTCATCCCAGCCCTTTTGAGCTTAGGCACTGTGAGGGGAGACCTTAATTCAGTGTTAGCCACCCGTTGTCTTCCGATGGGCGTCTGGGCCACTACCCTGTGGAGCTGTACCTGTGTGCACCTCCTCCACCCCAGCCACGAAGGCTTTCTGAGCACACAGTTGGTGTCTCCTGTGGAGATGTGCTCCATTGTGCCCTCACTTTTTGGGGGACTAGTTTGGTTAGTCGTAGCCAGGGGACTGTCAAGTGGAAGCTCTGTGGCCTCATATGACAAGTGAGATGTGCTTCCTGGATCACCATCAGTGCAGTGGTCCTCTGAAGCCCCACCCCCCGGGTCAGCATTAGGGTCAGCACAGAAAAGCTTGAACAGCCCAGTGAGGGAGGAGAATAGAGTCTCAAAGGAGAGGTCTCAGGTTTCATCAGCCCTGCTGCCCCACCCTGCCCCAGTCCCACTGGCAGGTTCTGTCCCCATCTCTCCTGCTGCACCCACTCAGGCTCAGGGCCATGTAGAGGGAGGGCTCTGCGTCTTGGGGCTGCTACCTCTGCCACAACACCTGATCTTCATGACACCTATCCACACTCTGCCTTCTCAGTGACGTGGTATGTGTCGCCTGTGAAAAGAGGATGCTGTCCGTGTTCTCTGCCTGTGGTCGCCGCCTCCTCCCTCCCATCCTCCTGTCGTCCCCAATCTCCACGTTGCATTGCACAGGCTTCTACGTCATGGCACTCACTGCTGCAGCCACGTTATCTGTCTGGTGAGAGACTGGCCTGGGGCGAGGTGGGCTCTGCCAGGGCAAGGGAAGGCTGTGCGGGTTCCTCTTCACTGCAGCAACAGGGGAGGCAGCCAAGGAGGCCACCTGGTGAACATGCCCTTGGGTCCTGCTACTGTGGGGGTCTTAACAGCCAAAGAGACCCCAAGCAGTCGGACACCAGACACTGCTTGTGATAGCCACTGTGTGCACGCACGCACACTGGGGGCAGATGTGCAAGCAGAAGTGGACCAGGATACCTATTCCTGCTGCCACCCTTATAGGAGCAAACCACATGACAAAACATGGTGCCTACCTGCATGTGCCAGAGTCCTTATATGCTGTTAGAAATGGGATCTCAGCTGCTACAGTGTGGCTACACTTCTCCCAAAGTTGGTACAGCATCAGTGGCAAACCCCACAGCTCTGTTGCCTGAACCCTTTGCTATAGACTTAGTGGAGGAAGTAAGTGACTCATAGGGAACAGAAACCACTGCGACCCAGAGCTTCTCTCAGAGGAGGCCAGAGCAAGGTGTGCCCTAAAGACCGTGGAGGAGGGGTCTGCGCAGCGAGGTACACTCTGATGCATTCACCCAGATTGGAGGGTAAGCTCTTCCTTTTCTCCTTCCTAGGGATGTTCACAGACAGGTCGTTGTGGTAAAGGAAGAATCTCTACACTCCATCCTGGCAGGTAACTGGTAGTGTGAGGTCCCTGGTCCCCTAGGGAGGGAGGGAGGGGAGCAGGGCAGCTTGAGTCCTAGGCCCCACTTAACCTACATAGAGAGCCAGAGCCAGTCTCTGGGCCCAGCCCAAGGTATTCAGCGTGACAGGGTATCATAATTACATTGTGGAGAGATGCACCCTCTCTAAGGCACATTTTTTTGGCTCCTTGAGAGTTAACAAAGAACCTAGTGGGTGGCAGAGAAAGCAGCTTTCACAGAGAAGAGATTCCCCGGTTGCTGAATCAGCGTTAAGGTGGCAGTTGCTGGCACCGGAAGCCATTGTTAGACCTCTCTCTCCTTTGGTGTATGTGCCAGGACTTGCTGATCAGAATGCACCCAGAACCTATTCTTGTGGTGTCTCTGCAGGAAGTGATATGACCGTGTCACAGATCTTGCTCACACAGCATGGAATCCCAGTAATGAACCTGTCTGATGGAAAGGCGTACTGCTTTAATCCGTCACTTTCTACATGGTAAGCAAGCCACCATTCCCCAGCCCAGCCCCAGGGGAGAGTGTCCGTCTCAGCTGGAGCCCAGAGCAGCGAACAAAGGCTTCTGGTTCTGGTGGTCAGGCCTGGCTGCCTTGACTTCTCCCGAAAGTTGGTGAAGTCAACTTTCTACTCTGTTCCTGGAGTGGAAGCTACAGTGACAGCTTTGATGTGCTCTCTCTGCTGGAGACAGGCTCAGAGCCGCCTGTGTAGGTCCTACTGTCACTGTGAGGGGCTGGTGGCCCACAGCCTCTCTGCTGTGAGCACCACGCACAGGGAGCTTTCCTTTGTCTGCATCGTTCTCTGAGGTGACTTCGTTTGGAGTAGACATTTGAAAAATGTTATGGTTGTATGTATGTTTCCAGCCTGGCTTCCTTAGCCATCATCAGCATAGGTGAGTCAGCTTCACAATAGCTTCACCAGCACATGTCAGTTTTTGAAGGCACGTGGCATTTCCAGCTTAGTGAACTAGTAAGACTGCACCATCGCCACATGGGACGATGTCTTACCAGATCTGTGCCTTTCCTCTGCCCATTTTGGAATTTGGAGCCCCTTCCTTCTTCCTTCCTTCCTTCCTTCCTTCCTTCCTTCCTTCCTTCCTTCCTTCCTTCCTTCCTTCCTTCCCCTCTCTCTCTCTCTCTTTTTTTATTTTTTTAAATTAATCAATTTATTTTTTTTATTTTTTACCCTGGCTGGTGTAACTCAGTGGGTTGAGTGCAGGCCTGCAAACCAGAGGATCGCAGTTTGATTCCCAGTCAGGGCACATGCCTGGGTTGCAGGCCAGTTCCCAGCAGGGGACTCACGAGAGGCAGCCATACATTGACACTTCTCTCCTTCTCTCCTTCCCTTCCTCTCTAAAAATAAATAAATAAATAAACTTTTTAAAAAATCTTTTTAAAAAAAAGAATTTTTTTTTTTTTGAGCCCTGGCTGCTGTGGCTCAGTAGATTGAGTGCCAGCCTGCCAACTAAAAGGTCATGGGTTCATCTCCTGGACAGGGCACATGCCTGGGCCAGGACCCCCATAGGGGGACTGCAAGAGGCAACCACATACTGATATTTCTCTCCCTCTTTCTCCTCTCTCTAAAAATAAAATCTTTAAAAATTTTTAATTCTCACCTGTGGATATGTTTATTGACTTTAGAGAGAGAGGATGGCAGGGAGACAGGACGGGAAACATCTGTTGGTTGTGTTCCCTACGTGCCCCGACCAGGAATCAAACCCTTGTTGTGAACGGGAAGGTGTTCCCACCAGCTCAGCCAGCCGCCTGGCCAGGGCTGGAGCCTTCCCTGGGATTTCTTAAATCCCTTTATGCATCAGTGATCTTAACCCGAACATGTAAACTGTGTACATTGTGTACCAGCCACTCTGAGAAATTCTTTCTCCTGCACCTGTGGTCCTTCAGACCCAAGTCTTCCAGCACTTTTCTGTTTAGTTGTCAAATACAAGTTTATCCCACTCTGAGATCTCTTTCCTGATTTAAAAAACACCAACCCCAAACCCCAAACTCCCCACTGCCTGCTCGTCCGAGTTGTGAAGTGTTGTACATTGTATGATTACTGTAATAACAGAAACAAGCCAGGTGTTGAGAAGGGAAATGTTGACCCTTTGTATTGTGCACGTTTACAAAGGCGCCTGTCTGTTTTAAAAGTGTGTCAAGAATGTTTTACAAAGATGCGAAGGGTCTCGAGAAGGTGAAGAGCTGACTTCCTCAGATGTCGTGGAAGCACAGGAAGGCTAGAGCTCTGGCGTTCCTTGAAGTTTCCATGCAGGCGTTTCAGGCACACGTCACACATAGGCCTCCTGGCCCCAGGAACCAAGACCACAGGGCTGAACTGTTTGCCACAAAACCCTTGCCAGTGACCTTCACTGTCATTAATGTCCCCTTGTTATTAAACCCGACTGTGAGGGGCCCCTGGTGAGAACGTAGTGACACTCAGCCTTCGTTGGTGTTCTGATAACACATCAGGAGGTGCTTGCTTCTTGGCCGCCTCACTGCCCACCTGCTCTGCTGACGGGTCCTGCTCTGCTGGACCTCCTGGTCCTTCTGATCTCAGCTTCTGCTTTTGCCTCCCCAGGAACCTGGTTTCTGACAAGCAGGACTCCCTGGCCCAGTGTGCGGACTTCAGGAGCAGCCTGCCTCCCCAGGACGCCATGCTGTGCTCAGGACCCTTAGCCATAGTCCAGGGCCGTGCCTCCACGTAGGTGACCTGAGTGCTGGGAGAAGTGGCTGGGTCATGCAAGTATAGTCCCACCCAGACCAGTTCTCTGATTGCTCTTTCCTATGCCCAGCTGCTGCCCAGCACAGGCAGGCCATAGGTGTCATGAGTTTTGGGCCCACGTTTGATAATATCTCAGTGTGCTGGGATGCAAGCCCTATTATTTTGGGGCCCAGGTGGCAGTCTAAGGTGCTACGGATCATGAACACCCATGTATTTTGTTTGGGGGTCTGGGCCTCTGGCCTGTCACCTCAGAAGTCTAAATAGCAGGTGCAGAGTGGGGTACACCTGGGGTACCAAAGCATCCAGGAGGTCCACAGCTGGGACATAGGGATGGGTGGGCCAGTGTGGAGTGATATCTACACCTGTGCTGGCTTCTCGGGTTGCCCTGGGGTGCACAGTGACAGCCTCCTGCCCCACATAGTACCCACTGCCTCATGACATGTTTCTGCAGTTCAGGGAGGCAGGCAGCCCGGCTTTTCTCCGTGCCTCATGTGGTGCAGCAGGAGACTACCCTGGCCTACCTAGAGAACCAGGTCGCGGCAGCCCTCACCCTGCAATCCAGTCATGAGTATCGCCATTGGCTCCTCCTCTACGCGCGGTACCTCGTGAATGAAGGTGAGGTTCCTGGTAGCCCCTCCATTCTCCTGGGCCCAGCTCACAATCCCTGTCCCAGTACAACCCTCCTCAAGCCTGTGAATTGGGACAGAGGTGCAGTGGCCTAGGGCTCCTTTTCCTCCCAGTCTGCCATGGTCATCCCGGAGGCCCTGGCCTCCAGCTCTCCCATCAGAATGGTAGTCTCCCAGCCTCCCTACCTCCTGTCCTGAGTTCGATCAGGGCAGGTCAGCAGGCATCCAGCCCCATTACCAGCAACTCCCTGAGGGTCAGGAAGATTAACAGCAGGAAGGAGCAAGGGCAGAGGATATGTGGAAAGACATGCAAATGTGATGCTTAGACTTCTCACACCCTTGGAGCCTGAATGGTCAGTGAACTGATCACCCCAAAGGAGGGTGTCTTCTTATAGCATCCAATGTGCTTGCATTCCTCTTCCTTTCCTGAGCCTCCCTTGTGCCCTGGAAGGACTGTCCTGCTGTCTAGCACCTCCCCATGTCCCTCTAGCCTACCTTTCCCTGTCAGGGCTCTCAGCACCTGTGTCCCGTTCTCAGTATACCCTCACCCACACTGTCCCTGTTCAGCAAAAGTGAGGTGTGTTGCAGGAGGTGATTGTCCTTTTCTTACGGTGACCTCCAAAGCCTCTCAACTCTCTGGTAGGCAAGCATGGAGTCTGCCTTACAAGCCTTCCTTCCCTTTGAACTTGGCCTCCAGGGCTGTGACCTGGGGACTGGCCCTCTCAAAGTTCTGTCTGTGTCACCATGCAGGTTACCAAGCAGCCTCCCCCTCGGCCTTTTCTGGCCTTGCTTTGCTTCTTACAGCACCCTTTCCCTTTCCCTTCCCCTTTCCCTTTCCTGTATGATATAGGGGGCATGGGGAATGAAGCACAGAAAAGACAGAAAAAAACATGTCAAACCTCTACAAAGGTCACTCCCAGAACTCACATGTTATGTTGCCTCTGGTGCTACTAGGTGTGTATATACACCTTACAATATATAATATATATACATTCCTGATGACAACAAACATGGCTGACCAACTCGAAGCCCTAAGCCCTTCCCCAGCAAACTCCAGTAACCAGTTTGACGTGTATTCTTCCCACCCAATGTGTGGTCACCCAGCACATTTGATCACTGGCATTTCTAAATACCCAATCTTTCCAAGTCCTCACCTCTTTTCTAGGATGCTCCAGTAACTTCTGGGCTTCGGACCCCACTCTGCTGGGGAAATCCTTCCTCCAGCTCCTCTCTGGTTTGCTTCATCCTAGGTGTTGGTCAGGACTCACCCTGCTGCCCTGCGTAAAGTCGCTGCCCCTCTGGGGCCTGCACCCATTCGTGGGATCGCTTCTGCTGCTTGCTTCTCTTCCTCTCTCACGTGCCTGTTCCAGGGTCGGTACATAAGTCACCTCTCGCTATCCCTTGCTTCCTCACTGTAAAAGGGACACTCAAGTTTTAAAGGGAGATCCCACTCCTGAAATTCCTCAGATTCCAGCTTCATCCTGTTTATTTCCACCCTTATCTTTGGGTGATTTCATCTATTCCCTGTGGCCTCCGCTGCCCCCAGTGCCAGCAGTCCCCATCTGCCCCCTCCCTGAGCTGCTCTAGCATTTCTGGCATTCCACTTGGTTATGCCCATAACCCTTGAGTCGACGGGCCCGGCCTGCTTCTCCTGTCTCCTCTGCTCGGTCACCACCTCCTCAGTCTAAACCTCCTCATACCCTTGCCATCTGTTACCACCTGACCCTGCTGATCTCTCACCCTGGCTGCCAAGTTGTCTTCTCTCAAATGAATCTGCCTAATTCTCTTCCCTCCTCCTACAATCTTCCACATTTTCCCATAACCTTGGGGAGTTCATCTTGGAGTTAGCCACATCTCATTTTTTTCTCATCGGCCCAGTGCACAGAGGGGCCACCACATGCCTTGTCAAGCAAGTAGGTGAGTAAGAACCTGTCATCATGAGTCTCGGTGCCCCAAACTGAGACATGCAAGAGGCATCTGCCCTTCATAGGCAACAAAATAAGCATTTGTTCATTCTGTTTTGATATACACAACATAGCATATTCTTGATTTTTTATTTCTTTTTGTAATGTGTTCCTATTTCTGTTTTGTTTTGTTTTGTTTTTGTTCTTTTGTTTTTTCTGTAATTAGGGTTTGAATACCGACTCCGAGAAATATGCAAGGACTTACTGGGTCCGGTTCACTACTCCACTGGAAGCCAGTGGGAGTCAACGGTAGTGGTAGGTGCTTCTTTCATTCTTGCCGCAAGAATCTCTTGAAAAGTGAAGGTGGAGATTTAAAAAGTAAGCCAAAGTGCTTTGAAATTCTTCCTCATTTGATGTCTCCAGCATACTGCCTTGGGTTCGAGCGTCAGTGAGTGGGTGAGACGCCTGCACTGCACAGTCTAGCAGGAGCTGGGCCCTCCACATCAGGCCTAGGCAGCACTCAGCCACACAGCTCTCCTGAGGAAAGTGGCCTGCGCAGGGCTGTGGGCTTGTTCAGTAATGAAGATGAAAGATCCTTCCCTGTCCTTATTGAGCTTATAGTCTGGTAGGAAGGCAGATATAAGCAAGTGAGCAATTTAGTCAGAATAGGTTTAGACTGTGAATTATGCTAAGAAGGAAATAAGCGGGTCAGTGGGAAATGCGTGACTGGGAAAGAGTGACCAGAGAAGAACTCAGAAGAGGACTCTGAGGATGAAACCTGACGTTAAGAATGAGCCAGCTCTGCAAAGCCCTGGGGAGAGTTTCCTGGTGGAGGTAGTAGTAGATGCAAAGAGGGCGTGGTGCATTAAAGCTACTGTGTATGGGACATAGGAGGCCAAAGAGAGGGTGGAGAGAAGAGGCAAAAGAGGTAAGCAGGAAGTGCAGCATGGAAAGCATGTGAGAAGCGGAGTTTTAGTCTAGGCAGTGAGAGTTATTGAAGGATTTTGCACAGATGTGATATAAACTGATGCAGACCAGTCAGCAGAGGTGACGTGAACTGACATAGAAAACTAGTCAGGGATTGTTTTTCCAACAGTTCTGGCAATAGATGCAGGTGACTTGGATCAGTGTGATAGTTGCCAAAAGGGAAAAGAAGACAAATTGAAAATGTATTTTGGAGGCAGAACAGAAAAGATTTGGTATATGGATGGGTGGCTATGGAGTAGATGAGGGAAAGAGAATAATGAACGTGTGGTCACCTCCAGGATCTTTTGGCTAGTACATTGATTAAATTGGAAAAGGAGCAGATTGGTGAGGGATTGGAGAAGGCGTGGGCCCAAGAAGTAGTTCCAGTGCTTTACTTGGTCGCTGAGCAAGTACTGATGGAGCACCTTCTACGGCGGGGGATAGTCCAGGCACAGGGCAGGCAGCTATGACTAAGGCTGACGGGGCTCTGCCTTTATGGATCTTCATTGTTGTGGAGAGAGACAGGTTCAAAACAAATGAACAAGTACATATAATGTGTTGGGTGGGGAGGATGCCGTGAAAAATAATAGAGGGCAGTGGGGACAGGGAGTACTGGCAGGGTGCTGTTTTATATTGGGTGATCAGGGAAGACCTAACTGAGCAAAGATCAGAAAAAGTGAGGAATGAAACCCCACATATATTTGGGGAAAGAACATCCAGGTAGAGGGAACAGCAAGTACAAAGGCCCTGAGGTTGGGGGTGGGGGCTGGTCCTTGCAGCATAAAAGGAACAGCTGAGGAGAGTGGTGATATGAAGGCGAAAGACTAAAGGGTCCGCCTCCCAAGGCTCTGAAGGCTTCGGTGTGTACTTAGCCTCCTCTATTTTTTATGACATTTTCATTACATTTTTATTTTGTTGCACTAGATCTTAATTTGATTGGCTAATAAAATCTTAGATTCAAAATCAATTCCCCTGGGAGCGTTGAATGTGTTGTACCAGAAACTTTTAGCATCCACTGTTGCTATTAAAAACTCTGCCCAAAATCTGATTTCCATTGCTTTGTAAGTTCTTTTGGGATGCTCTCTTGGTGTTTGAAGTTTCACAAAGCTCCAAGCCTATGTCTTTCATTCTGTGTATTTTCCTGGGTTCTCTTTGATTATATTTCCTTCCATTTTCTCCATCCTAAGAGATACAATATCCTTTTTTTGGAATTTGCTTTATTATCTTTATAGTTTCAATTCTCCCCCCAACTTTCAATTTAGTGTTTTATTTGCTTGAACATAGTTCTAGTATGAGGAGCCCTTGTGGATCTGTTTCTATTTCCTGTAAATGTTTCTGCTAGTTCTCATTTATGTTGTCTTACCTCCTTATATTGTCCTACCTCCTAGTTAGTTTTGATTGTCTGCTAGACTTGATATTTGAAAGTTTTTTTATAGAAATGGTTTGAAGCTTCAGTGATGTTACCCTCAATGGGGCACTTTTATTTGCTGCCACCAGCTTTTGGCCCCAGCCCTACAAGGCCCCCTCAACCCAATTCAGGGATCGAGGTCTCTAGGCTGCTGGGGACTCAAAGCTGGATACTAATTGGTGGAGAGACTAGTTTACTACCAGTTTGCCCTTGTTCTAGAGTGCATTTCTTTGGGGTTCCAGCACAGAGGGGTGATTTACCAGTGACCCCACTTTTCATGGTCCTTTGGTCCTCCCAGGCCCTCAAGTCTGGTAGAAGCCTAGCCTCTTTAATAAATGTTCCCAAGGCAAAGGCGTCTCTCTGGATTTCCACCTGCCTCACACCCAAGCTCGGTCCTTCATCGCTAGCACATGAGCTCTGTGAGGTCTGTTTCTCTTTGCCCAGCTTTGTTCCCTTTCTCAATGGGAAGGGTTTTTCTGAATTACCTACAAGAATAGAGCTATTTCCCCAGCACACCTTACCTTCAGGTAGCTTGATAATCTTAGATGGGAGACCGGAACCAAGCCCTCCCATGGCCGAGTTGTAGGGCTTCACTCCGTGACCCAGTTGCCACTCTGACAGCCTTAGCCCCAGACATCAGAGAGAGCTCTACCTAGCAGTTCTCCTTCTCAGCCCACAGGTAAGCATTCTAGGCCAGTGTGGTGCACATAA